CTTGGCTTGATATTTTCCCTCAACTTGTGAGGTAATCAGCTGCGAATCACTCATTATTTTGATTTTTCTGGCTCCATGCTCTCTTGCTTGTATGATTCCGGCAATAAATGCCTCGTATTCAGCCTGGTTATTAGAAGTCGGGAAGGCCAGGTGAAGTGAATGCTCGATGGACACTCCTTCCGGGGTCTCAATGATTACCCCGACTCCGCTTCCTTTGGAGTTGGACGACCCATCCACGTGTATTGTCCAGAAATCATCATTTCCTTTTTCCTTTTCATTGGATGGGGTTAGCTCCAGGATGAAGTCGGCCAGCGCTTGGGACTTTATCGCCTGCCTGGGCTCATATGCAATGTCGAACTCTGAGAGTTCGACTGCCCAGTTTATCATTCTGCCAGCGAGGTCCGGTTTGTGGAGGACTTGCCTGATGGGCTGATTCGTACGCACAATAACTCGGTGACTCTGAAAGTAAGGTCGGAGCCTCCTCGTCGTGGTAAGTAGTGCGAATGCGACTTTCTCGAGCTTCTGGTAACGAAGCTCGGGCCCTTGCAAGGCCCGACCCACAAAGTAGATCGGCTGCTGTGATTTGTCATTTTCTCGTACCAAGGCGGCACTGACGGCCTCTTCCCCGACTGATAAGTATAAGATCAGCGTTTCCCCAGGTTCTGGTTTGGTCAGTACGGGAGGAGTGGCCAGGCAACTTTTAATATTTTCGAATGCGTTCTTGCATTCTTCTCCCCATCCGAATTCGGCTTCCTTTTTGAGAAGCTTGAAGAAAGGCAAAGCCTTTTCCGCCGATTTGGGCAAGAATCTGGTTAGGGCCGCAAGGCGTCTAGTGAGCTGTTGAATTTCTTTTTTACTTTTGGGCTGCTTCATTTCGAGCACGGTCCTACACTTGTCGGGGTTCACTTCTATTCCCCGGTTGGTAAGCATGAAGCCCAGGAACTTTCTAGCTGGTACCCCAAAAGCGCATTTCGCCGGGTTCAGCCTGATCCTGTGAGCTCTCAGCTGCTCAAAAGTTTCCCTGAGGTCGTTTATATGTGCAGACATTTGCAACGACTTAACTATAATGTCGTCGATGTATACCTCAAGGTTTCTTCCGATCTGCCCTTGAAAAACGCGGTTCATCATCCGCTGATATGTCGCCCCTGCATTTTTGAGACCGAAAGGCATGACTTTGTAACAAAAGTTGCCCTTCTCGGTGATGAAGGCGGTTTTCTCATTGTCCTCGGGGTGTAGCGGAATTTGGTTGTACCCTGAGTACGCGTCCATAAACGATAACAGCTGAAATCCTGACGAATTGTCAACTAACTGGTCAATGCTCGGCATGGGGTATGAGTCTTTTGGGCAGACCTTATTGAGGTCGGTATAGTCCACACATATCCTCCATTTCCCACTTGGCTTTTTTACCATTACTACGTTGGACAACCAGGTGGTATACTGTATTTCCCTCACGAATGCGGCTGCCAACAGCTCGTCGACGTGCTCATTTAATGCCTGACGTCGGTCTGTCCCTATCTTCCTCTTCTTTTGGGATACTGGCCGTGAACCGGGGTACATGGAGAGCTTGTGGCAGCAGAAGGTTGGATCAATTGCAGGTATTTCTGAAGCTTTCCACGCAAAAACGTCTCGGTTTTCTTTTAACAAAGAAACCAGCTCCTCTTTGAATTCCGTGCTTAGGTCTTTTCCCACCTTGGTGCGTCCTTCGCCGTCTTCTGAAATGTCGGCATCCTCCAATTCTCCTTGGGGTTCAGGACGAGGTGCCAAGAGCTCCTCCCTTACATCGAGCTCAACCAAGTTGACCTCTCTTCCGCACGTCTTCAGTGATTGGCCTTTGGTTCCTCCTTCTTTAAGCCGAGTTGGAGATGATGGATTTCCATGATGGACTCGTAGAGTCTCGTAGTAGCACTTTCTTGACTCTTCTTGATCGCCTCTTATGGTGACGACCTCGTTGTTCATCCCAGGCATTTTCAATGCTTGGTGTTTGGTGGAGATCAGCATATCCCATTCATGAATTGTGGGCCGACCTATAATTACGTTGTAGGAAGACGAGGTGTCCACTACAACGAAACGAACCCTACCAGATCGGAACGAATCCTTCGTGCCCAAGGTCAGTTTTAGGTCGATGTAGCCTTTTGGAGGGGACGCCGCTCCATTAAACCCGACCAGCTCAGTGATACATGGCTTCAAGTCCTTCTCGTCCAAGTTCATCCTCTGGAAAGCGTCCCAGAGAATGATGTCAGCTGAACTTCCGTGGTCAATAAAAATTCTTTTGACTCGGCAGTTGACTAGTACTCCGGTGATCACCAATCCGTCAGTGTGTCCGGGTACAACCCTCGCTAGTTCCTCCTGAGTGAAGAACAGTCTTGGGGGAGCCGGCTTGCCGTCCTTTTCTTTGAAAGTTGGCCTGTCCCTTACCGACATGACCTCTTTTAGGTATCTTCTCCGGGCGTTGGCCGAGTCTCCTCCTCCTCCTAGGGCTCCACTTATCACGTTGCATTCGAACTCGGCTTCAGGAAAAGCGTCGTCCTTTTCATCGACCTCTTTGCCTTTGGAAGGTCGGTCCTTTCTTTGGTCCTTTCGATCCTCTCTCTTTGGGCTTCGACTTCGACTTCGGCTTCGGCTACTTTGCTTGCGCTTATTATTTTTCTTGCCCTGTGTTCGGATGATATACTGCTTTAACTTTCCCTCCCTGACGTGTTTCTCAATTGCATCCCGGAGGTCCCAACAATCATCTGTGTAGTGACCGTTTTGGTCATGGAATGCGCAGTATTTGCTTTTATCTAACCCGAACTTGGCTCTGAGAGGTCGAGGTCTCTCGACGTTGCGCCTTTCGGTATGTGCTACCTCTTTCCATATCTTAGATCTAGCCATGCTTAAGGGTGTATAGTCATCATATCTCCTCCTTGGTGACCGGTCTTCCGACCTTTTATCACGAGTGTCCTTTGCTTTTTTGGATCCCTTCTGATCCCGATCTTTGTTGTTTTTCCTACTCGGGCTCCGACGAATAGGGCTTCGTCCTCGTGATTCGACATAAACCTTTTGCATGTCCTCCACGTCAATGTATTTGTCCGACCTTCTCCTGAACCCCTCCAGATCGTTCACCGGGTTCTTATAGATGGATCTCGCCAATGGGGAATCGCCATCCAATCCCGAGATGATTAAGTGGAGGTGCACTGCTTCAGTTAACCCGCGTACCTTGAGGGCGGCATCCTTGAATCGGTCGAGGTACTTCCTCGGCGATTCGTTCTCCTTCTGCCGGATTCTTCCTAAAGCATAGGCTGGCATCGGATGCACCCTGCTTGTTGCAAAGTTAAGTCGGAAGGTCCGAGCTAGGTCCTCAAACGAGTCGATTGAGTTCCTAGGGAGCCTGGTTATCCAAGTCATCGCTTGGCAGTCAGCGTTGTCGCAAAGATCCTGGCCTTAATAGGTCCAGTGATCCCGTTGAATAGCATCTCGGTTTTAAAAGCCTCTAAATGGGCTTCTGGGTCCTGACTTCCGTCGTATGGAGGTATCCTGGTGCCTTTGAATCTCGGCGGAATGACCAAGTTCATGAGCCTCTCCGTGAATGGGCTATCATTAGCCTCTTCATCCTCCAGATAATTTTCGTCCTGGTTGTCGTTCGGCCCACCACCATTTCGGTTGTTACCGAGGTTAAGGTTCTGCCCATTCTGGGCGTGCCCTTCGAGTGGGGCCGCGTTCAGTTGCCGCGGTCCTCCATCGCCAGCATTGTCGGGCCTTCTAGGTCGTTCTCCAACATTTTGATGCCGGAGGTCTTCAGCGTTCTGATGCTGGGTGCCTTCGGCGTTCTGAAGTACGACGTTCTGAAGTACGCCTTCCGCATGTTGTTGGGGAGGTCGGTTGTTTGCGACCCCTCCGGTTCCCCTAGTCTGGCCTTCCGCGTTCAAAGTCCTCAGTTCAGCCTCCACCGTCGCCATCCTTTGTGCATCCATGCGCTGCTGGGTCAGAAATCTGTTTTCCATCTCTTGCAACCTTTGAAGGATTGCTCCCATGGCCATGTTTGTCACATTTGGTGGCTCACTGTGTGGAGGCTGACGAACTGCCGCAACTGTTGCGTTCAGCTGGGGTCTGGGAGTCGGTCCTTGTGTGCCGACCTCGCCGACCTGTACCTCAACCAGCACCGGGTCTGGTTCCAATTGGGGCTGTTCCGACGCAGGTTGGTGTTGAGGCCTGCCATAAATGAGACTGTGGTTGACGCGGAGGCATTTGGGATGTTCCCGACGTCGAACGTGTGTTCGTCATCGTGGGGTGGGAGTCGAAATTTACGGTTTCCCACAGACGGCGCCAATGTTCAGTCCTGGATAGACCGTATTGCTATACCGTAAGGTATGCGCTCAGAGATAGTGTATATCAAGTGTATACTAGGCTTACAGCCGAAGTCCCAATCACTGCGCACAAGCAATAGGCTTATAGCCAAGGGGTGGGTGTGTGCACAGTGTGGGCAGAAGTAATAAATGAGTTCTGAAATGTTACCTGGGGTTCTTAGGCTCTTATTTATAGGATTACCTTCCCAGGATTGTGCCTCTGAAATCCCCCCATTGTAGCTGGATTCCCTCTTTCTGTTGGGGTGTGATCCTTATCTCATATCCTTTTAATTGTTTGAGGTTGTTGAGATGTAACTGATTCAATATCCCTCTGGATATTTTACTAGGTAGTTGGGATATGATATTCATATCCATAACATATCCAATTCACGAATTGCTGTTGGAGAATAGCTTTTGGTGTTTTATATGAAATCTGGACTGCCATGAGTTAAATCCTTGTCAGTTGCCACTCCCATTCTTCATTAATCAAATTAAAATTTCAGCAAAATGTAAATGTGGATATATGCACTTCAATCCCAGAGAGCTTTTTCATGTGGGGGCATGGATAAAAACTATTCATGGGCCTAGTTGATTTGGTTCTTGACGACATCAATATCAACAACACCTTTAATTCAAATTAATTGACGACATGGATATTATAAATAATAAAAGAAAACAATGCATTGTGATTTTAACAGTTTATTTTCTCATGGCAAAAGCACACAAGCTGCTAAGTTATCAGCCGTAAATGTTAGGAGTAGAAGAGAAATTTCTGCTGGGAAAATTAACGTGACAATTGTTTCGTTCTACACACTTTATTCTTGTAATTATTGCATTACCCTTTACATAATGTTCATTTTCTATATAATTTAGCATAGTATTATTCTTTGTCTATACAGGCTCTTGACATGATAAGGGGGAAAAATATTCGGCTCCTAATCGATTCACATTTGGAGGGGAAATTTTCAACGGAAGAGGCAACTGTGGTTTTTGATCTTGCCTCACAATGTTTGCAGTATGAACCTCGGGAGCGGCCCAAGACCAAGGACCTTGTTACAACACTTTCTGCACTGCCAACTAAACCCGATGTGAGTTTTTTTTTTTTTTTTTACCTAAAACTTTGTTTTCTCCCTCGTAATCGTTTGTAAAGTATATCTGTTGCAAAACAATCTGATGCCCTGTATCCATGTTATTAAAACTCGGATTGGTGATTGACTCGGTTGAGATACTGGGTTAATGGATCATTGATTCTATTGGTGGATCATCGGTTTAACTGCGTAAACTGAAATAATAAATAATATGTAATAAATCAAATAAAAGAAGCAAAATATCTAATATGATGTGTTGACTTAGTGGTTAGTCTCCCATACTTCGTATTATAGTTCCCGTGTTCAACTCCCATCTTTGCCAATGAGACAACCGGTACCAATTTAACATTGGTTGAACCCGATTTTAGGGCAGTTCCCCGATTCTTATCCGGGTTGGTTGCATGACCGACCGGTTGGTTATGCCATTGCATGCTCATAAATTATGCCTCCCCCGGGCCTATGTTTGTTCTGTAGAATATATTGATAGCTAGAGTAATGCTACTGACGCAACCAAAAGTAGATGCAAAAACAGAACCCTCCGCATGCCAATAGATCACGTTATTAGGACATGGATTTGACACATTATTGAGATGCTATGGATCTGCTCAGTGGGTGCGTTCTTTGTGTGTGAGCAGCATTTTTCTAGTAGATATCTTTAGGTTACTGCAAGAATGGAAAATGGGCTTTGACCTATTTAAAATATAATTACAACTAATTAGAAACTGGCAGGGATTTTGGGCTAATAATTATGGTCTCTTTTGCTGCCAGGTTCCATCATATGTTATGCTTGGAATTCCGAAGCATGAGGAAGCACTTCCTATCCTACATCATCCTCTATCTCGAATGGGTGATGCTTGTTCTCGTACGGACCTTACAGCTATTCATCAGATTTTGTTGATGACAAACTACAGAGATGATGAAGGGAGTAATGAGGTACATGAAGAGATTGGAGTTCTCTAATGTTAATATTACGAATGTTACACTAAGTATGTCTTCGTACACGTTTAGATATCTTTCCAAGAGTGGACTCAGCAAACGAGGGATATGTTGGAGGCAAGAAAGCGTGGTGACTTGGCATTTCGTGACAAGGATTTTAAAACTTCAATTGAGTGTTACTCCCAGGTATGTACTCTGTACATCAAAAACTTTTGTTCAAGCAGCATGCTATCATAACCAATAGGACCCTTGGCAAAGTAGTTCGAGTTGTGGGCACGTGGAATAAGTCCTGTGTTATTTATCATGTCCAGGTCATGTGAGACAATTTTAACGATTCATGGTCAAATCAACATTTATCTATTTGTCACTTTCTATTCCAACATTTTTTTTCTTTCATCTCTTATCATTATTGATTTGTCTATGAATAATTAAGATTGTCTCACATCATATAGTTATGTTAAATACCACACGAGAAAATTTATTCCAACTAGAGGTCATAGTTTTGGAGTCATTAAATCAACCTCTTGCAAATACAAGGCAGCCTCCAACAGTGTCCGACTCTTCCCTAGACCCACACACATAGTAAAAGCTTTATAGCATAAGCCTGCCCTTTTAAGCATCCTAGCTTATTCATACCATCAGGAGAGACTCTACGTCAATGTGTCTTTTTAAGAAAGATTTAATATTTTAAAATTCAAAGGCAGGAAAAAAAGATAGCAGAAAAGCATTTTGGTGTACTTGCTCGTATCGTATTAATTTCATTTATCTATGCAGTTCATTGATGTTGGAACCATGGTTTCCCCTACTGTCTATGTAAGGAAAAGTCTTTGCCATCTATTCTGTGATCAACCAGATGCTGCTCTCAGAGATGCAATGCAAGCTCAATGTGCCTATCCTGACTGGTCCACAGCATTTTACATGCAGGCTGTTGCTCTTTCCAAATTAAACATGAATAAGGATGCAGCTGATATGTTGAATGAGGCTGCTGCTCTCGAAGAGAGAAAAGGCAACGACTAGGGAAAGGACCTTAGGTTCATAACCTTTTGTTTTTTAGCAACAGATCTTTGTATACATGAAGTTGGAAATGGCTACATTTAAAGATGTATCACAGAGGGAGGAAGAATCATACTTCTTTTTGCATAAGCTGTTGAGCTAACTTTACCTCCTGAATTTGATAAAATATTTAATTCATTCTTATAGTGTGCATGTCTTTGCGTATCTTATAGTACAAACATGATTCTGTGACCAAGTATATCATTCTAAAAGATACAGGTGACCAGAGACGCCATGCTTGTTTGTTACGAGGGGAGGGACGATAACTTCCTTTCCCGCCAAAACTTGAAACCGCGATTTCTTTGATGAAAGAAATGGAATGAAATTGGTAATTATTTATAGTCAACTTGGGCCACGGCTTAATGGGAAGAAGTAAGAAGCCACCAATTTGTATTCCCTTTTCCCTTGTGTTAGCTAGCGCAACACAGAGATGAGTATGGAAAAAAAATACATACCAGTACCACATTCAGAAAGGGTCGGTGCCTTTGTGGGTACTGGCGGTCAAACGTTGGAACTGGAATTTTGTCAATAAAATTACCAAACCCTCTACAAAAAAAAATCATATTTAAATTTCTCCTCTAAATTTAATGCTTTCGTTTCGATACTGCTTTCTTATTTAATTTTGCGTATATAGACATTAAACCTCATCCTATCTTTGTATACTAGAAGTTGGAAATGGATTCTATTTAAAGGGAGGGAGGAAGAATCATATCGTGCTAACTTTATCTCCTGAATTTGATAAAATATTTAATTGATTCTTACAATGTATATGTCTCTGCGTATCTTATAGTACATACATGATTCTGTGGATTAAGTGTACCATTATGCAACATATAATTCGGCTTTTCCATCAATGAATAGACTCATGAATTCTTCACCATCCACAGTTTCTTTCTCTATGAGAAGTTGTGCAAGCTTGTGAAGGATGTCAATGTGAGTTCTGACGATTTCCGTAGCCCTAGCATAGGCTTTCTCTACCAGTTCCCTTACTTCTGCATCCACTACATCAGCAGTTGCCATGGAGTAATCTTTTTGCGTTGACATCTGCAATCACAATTATTTGAAATGGTGAGGCATTCATTGGTGTCCAAGAGTAGTAATGTTTACTGCGTCAAACAATGGCATCAACCTATGTTTACCTGTTGACCCAAGAATGGATTTCCGCCAGGTCCACCAATGGCAACTTGTCCAATTTTTTTGCTGAACCCAAATCTCTCAACCATTTGCCTTGCCACTCTAGAAACTTGCATAAAGTCATTTGAAGCTCCGGTGGTCACATTTTCCCGGCCAAAAATAACCTCTTCAGCTACCCTGCTTTGCCATATAGAGAAGGAATTGGTCACATAATATTCGAAGCTAAAAACTGTTCCACTTCACATCTACAAGACAATAACCACGTCCCTTAAAAGTATACAACAAAAGTAGCCAATAATAACAACAGTTCTTATACAGATCCCTCAGAGTGACATGCAAATATCAAAATCCAAAATCAAATAAGGTGATGTGTATGTTTCCATGGTCCACTAACCTTCCACCAAGAGCAACTGCCATCTGATTTTCCAAGTAACTTCTACTGTACAATCCAGACTCAAGCCTCTCTTCACTGGGAGCAAAAAATGTGAGACCCCCAGCTTGGCCACGAGGAATAATGGATATTTTGGCTACAGGGTCATATTCAGGCATTAAAGCACCTACTAGAGCATGGCCAGCCTCTGAAAATTAATAAGGAAAAATAAAAAGTGAGAAGACCCAAAAATGAACGAACACCTAAGAAACTTGGCTATTTAACATACAAAAATACATACATACCATGATAGGCTACTAATTTCTTCTTCTCATCCGAGACCACAGCATTTTTCTTTTCTGGTCCAGCAATGATCCTTTCAAGCGCATCAGATATCTCATCTTTACTTATTTCCTTGAGGTCACGCCTGGCTGCAAGAATAGCTGCTTCATTCATCAAATTCTGCAGATCAGCCCCTGTAAATCCCGGGGTTCTCCTGGCAATTTTTTCAAAGTCAACATCCTTTGCAAGTGCCTTTCCTCTAGAATGCACCTGACAGATAGGAAGACTTGATTATTAAGATACCAAAAGAAAATAAAAAATACATGTAACACAATCAAGGTTATTCATTGCAATAATATTTACTAAAGACTGCACTTAATGTTCGAAAGATCCCAATGCCATCTATCTATTACAGACCAGTCCCTGAATCCCACCCATCCTATGCTTTATTTATTGATGTAAGACAAAACAGCAACTTCAGCCTTACTCAAGCATTCTCGGTCATATGACCGGGATTCATCATGATTTGCTGCATTAACAACAATTATATAAGACCCTCTCATATGCACAGGCAAAGTGTTGAACATCATATGCCTAAAACACACTTCAAAAGCTAACCTTTCACCCTCTTTCCCACAAAGAACACTCGTATACTTATGTCCTATAAATGTACTTATACACCATATCATTGTCAACCTATAGTTGGTTTGCACATTTGGACTCAGTTAATACACCCTAGAACATTATCAAATGAAAATTTCAATATTGCAAGAAAAGCATTCAGAAAGAGATTGAGTTATATTAAAAACACTGACCTGAAGGATTTTAACTCTGCCGGCAACATCAGGTCTGTCTACGGTGACTTGCCTATCAAACCGGCCAGGCCTTAACAATGCTGAATCAAGAACGTCCGGTCTATTAGTTGCAGCCAAAACAATGACACCCGAATTACCAGAAAACCCATCCATCTCCGTCAAAAGCTGATTAATAGTTTGTTCCCTCTCATCATTCCCACCTCCGAGTCCTGCCCCTCTCTGCCTCCCAACGGCATCAATTTCATCAATAAAAACAATGCACGGCGCCTTCGACTTTGCCTTCTCAAACAAATCCCTCACCCTTGAAGCACCAACACCCACAAACAATTCCACGAATTCTGAAGCCGCGCACGAAAAGAATGGCACACCAGCTTCACCTGCCACTGCTCTTGCCAAAAGGGTCTTCCCAGTACCCGGTGGCCCCACCAGAAGACACCCTTTTGGAATCTTCGCACCCAGTGCTGTGTACTTATCCGGGTTCTTCAGGAAATCAACCACCTCCTGCAATTCAAGCTTCGCTTGGTCAGCTCCGGCCACGTCACCGAAGGTCACACCGGTTTCCGGTACTTCTTGAAACTTGGACTTTGATCGCCCGAAATCCATGGGCCCTCCAAGCCCACCTGGCCCACCAGGCCCGCCTTGGGATCTGCGGAACAGCAAGAACAAACCTGCGAATGCGAGGAACGGGAATAGCAAGTTCCCGATGAAATTAAACAAGCCATTACCGGAATCACCTTCTGAGACGGAAATGTCGACGCCGTTCATGGCCAGAATGTCGATGAGGTCAGGGTCATTGGGCACGATGACAGAGGCTCGGCGACCATCAACGGCGGTGAGTTGAAGGGTAGAACCTTCTTTGCTGAACCTAACTCTCTCGACCTTACCCTTCTTGACGGCATTCAAGAACTCACCGTAACGCCACTGGCCACCTTCGGGGAGGTCAGAAGTGGTCTGGGTTTGTGGGTTGGGTGCTGTGAGGAGAAGATTCTGAGAGAAAGGAGAGGAATTTGAGGGGTTCAGTTTGTTTTGTTGAGCTTCAATTACGGGTGGAAGGGTAACGTTATCTGCAGCAAGAGCTTGATGGGTCACACTAAGATTCACAGAGGAGAAGATAAGAGCAGCTAAAGCAGCCTGTGAACATGTATCATTATAATTATTATTAGGCTTCTGAGAGTTTAAAAAAAACCTTCCCTTGAAAAATAACGGTAACGGAACGGATGGTTTGGTTGTTTTGGGGGTTGGGGGCGATAGTAAAAACTTCCGTCCGAGGAAGTTTGAAGAAAACAAAGCGTTGGGTGCGATGGCCATGATAGTTAGGTCTTATGGTTATGGTCTCTCTCTCTCTCTCTCTCTCTCTCGAATTAGAATGTTGGAATTTCAGAAAGTAAGCTGCTGCTGCTGCACCACGGAGGTTTTAATAAAAAAAAAATGCCCAAAGAAATCTAAGGGCAACGACTGCTCCACGGTTACACTGATCGAGTGATGTAAACATGATTAATCATATCTACACATTCAAGATTTTGTCTAGTGTGAAATCAAGTTTTGACTTGGATTTCATTTTAGAAGCAGAGGCAGGAGCCATAAATTTGGGTGGTGCTTATATCGCATATACGTGGCCTGCACTCGATCCGTTTATTTACCGCCAGCTCTATTTTAATAAGAAAAAAAAGAAATTGGCGCGATTACAAATAAAGCCCAAATAGCCCATTGCGTTAAGGTTACTATACTACTACAGTTGAGCCTATTATAAAGATGAAGGGCAAATCCACAAGGATCAGAGAGTTGGAATAGAGTATTTTCTACAAACCCTCCTCAAGCCTGTTTGGATTTTACTATCACTTTTTTAAAAAAGTATTTCTTAAGGTTTGTTTGAATGACTTTTTTTCTTCTGAAAATTGCTTTTTAAGAGAAAAAATATTTTTTACTCTAAGCTCATTTGAATATCTATTTTTTTTTTAAAAACAGAATTCATAAAAATAAATAAAAAATCTAATTTTTCTAGAAACTAAAAATTTTAGCTTCTAAAAAAAACATAACTCAAAAATCAAATATATTTTTCAAAATTTAAATAACTTTAACTTTTGTATAAAATATTTCTAAAATAAGCAAGGTACAAAAGTTGCTTTTTTTTAAAGGCCAGATAAACGGGCTCTAAAGTTTCCTGAAATTATAAATTATTTTAATATAAAATATGATAATCTAAATACACACTTTCTTAGTTTCTTATCTCAATTAATGAATTAGGAGTACACTTGAACTTGGAAGGGTGAGATGTCTTGGGAAATATCGGTTTCCTCAAGCTCGGCTAAACAGCCTTTTCGCGGAAGTCAATCAGCAAGATCTTGATCTCGGATCTCGGCAATACCTCGGCCTGAACTTCACCAGGTCGGGCAGCGCAGCGGAAAATCAAAACGAAAAACAGGAGAGAGAGAGAGAGAACACAAACAGATTTTAACGTGGGAAAACATTCTCCAATGAAGAAGTAAAAATCGTCGGGACCTAGTCCAGATCAAAAATTCACTATGAAAATAATGGTTACAAAGAATCAAGACTCATCAATTTGGTGGTTAACATAACCTCTCCAACAATGGCAATAGTCAAACTCCCTTAGAAATGTTTTACTCAAACTCTCTCTAAAGATCTCTCAAATACAAAGGCATAAAGCTTTGCTCAAACAATTTTCTCTCAAATTTTTAATTTCTCAATCTGTCTGCTAACCTAGCATCCACCCATAACTAATGAATATATAGAGGATGTGAAATCTAGGATTAGGATTTTCGGAAACCCCTCAATGGACTTGGGCTTAGCATTGAAGGAAGAAGCTCAATAAGATGTGTCTGTGAAACAACTTGGCCTGCGAGTGATGGAGGATATCAAAATCATAATTTATCAAGGAAACGCTAATAGGCAAGCTGGAAGAATGGAAAGAAAATTTTCTCCTATTAACTTAGGGAAATCATTTTCTTATGTTGTTGGAGATTGCTTTCTTATGTTGTGTGGCATTGAAATTTGTGCTATTTTCTTTTTATTTTTAATTTTTTTAACAAGTAGTGGGACCTACCACTTGTTGTCTCTATAACATGAGAGATGTTATCTCATGTGACATGAGAAAAATGAAACCCATTAGCTTATTATAGCTCGTAGTCATTTGAAATTTGAATACATGACCAATTGTTGAAAAAAAAAATACATATTGCAATGGGTACTAAATAAGACGTTAAGGACCTTCCATGGGAATTTATGATCTTTTAATTCTTATATTATTCAACTTATTTTCTTATAAAAATATTTCAAATCATCCTTAAGCTTTATTATTAACTTTGGAAAGCAATAAGCAGTTGAATCGCAGATTTGGATAATGTTGTTAACTTTTGTGTTTGGAATTCTCTCGTAACTTTATGTTGAGTGTTGTTAACATATAAAGGTTCATAATGAATATTATATGATAATATTATGTATTATTAAATTTTATAAGGCATACATTTTTTATAATTTTATGTTCTATTTTAAATGGTTAATATGATATTAAATACAAGGTTGACCATAAAGCTCAGTCTAAAGTTAACATCGCTCTTCTGCTAACCGGATTTTATATGATCATTGGAAACATCTGCCAATCACACTTCCTCTGCCACCCAAATTATTGTTCTGATGCAAATTAATAGCAACAGGGATATCTCCAACTTGGTTAGAAAGGGATTTTCGTTAGAATCTAAGATTAGAAGAATTTTTGTAAATTAATTAGTGTATGTTTTTATATGTAGTGCGTGTTGTCTAATAATTTTCGTCAAAATTTTTTAGTGGACGAAGTTATGCCAACAACTTATAACAATGACAGATGTTGAAGGGAAGGGGCCACCTTTCTTCTTTATTTACTCGAGTGCATACTTGCTTACAAAACAATTGGTTACATAAATAAATAGGATTGATCTAGGTAATTTGCATGATATTATAGCTTTAAATCTCAATTCATTATTGTATCCAAAAAAAAAAAAAAAAAAAAATACTTACAACGTAGGATTTACTCAAAAAAAAAAATCTAAATAATCCAATTTATAAAATCAACGTGGGTTAATTAAATACTAAAAATATCAATTTAATTTATATATTAAATTATGTTATATTATTTTTAGAGCGCCTTAATTCTTAATAAACTATCTTTTAAAAAACAATATGGGGACGGTTATATTTACCACCAGGTAAATTTACCACCCTTACAACCAATCTCTTAACCGTTAGATTAAAATTAAATCTAACGGTTCATAATTATCTCTTATAATTCTAATTTTTCTCTCTCATCCCCTCTCTTTAGGTTTGAGATCTACACACTTCTCTCTCTAAGTCTAGGAATCAACTCTCTCATCCTCTCTTTATTGTTATAGTGCTTTGATCTTCAATTCCAACAAAAACATGTTATATTATTTTGATATGCTCATATGTTATATTATTTTGAAATCGATACAATTAAGGTTTGGGAACAACACTGGAATTAAAATCGCACAACACTGGAATTAACAATCGATACAATTAATCCTCATATGTTATATCATTAGAAAATGTCTAAAGCGCACAACACTCGAATTAAAATCAGAGTTGTTACAGTGATTCGATATGGAAAGCGCACAACTGTGGAAGAGAGGATGAGAGGGGTGATTCCCAAACTTAAAAGAGAGTCAGAGAAGGGACGTGAAAGAAAAAATTAGGATTATAAGGGATAATTATGAACCGTTTTTAGATTTAATTTAATCTAACGGTTAGGAGATTGGTTGTAAAGATGGTAAACTTACCTGGTGGTAAGTATAACCGTTCCCAAATAATATATGGGTTTGGTGTTTGTCATTTTAAATGACATAAGTTATGTCATTTTAGGAGAGAGATAAATATAGAAAAACGGAAATCATGGGAGAGAGAAAGTGAGTGATTTTTTTTAATTTAAAATTTAAATAAAAAAATTATGTGTCTATCTCTCTCTTAAAATGACATAATGTTATGTCATTTAAAATTATAAACACTTTTCCCATAATATATATTTGGGCTTATCGTTTCTCAAGCTGCTTGAGATAATTTTATCTCCGGCTACTAAATCATAACCATACAAAGAATGATAAATGGTGATAAAGGAAGAGAGAGAAAAATAAAATCATAATCATTCAAAGGTGAATCAATTAATATAAGGAAATAAATAAATAAAACGACGTAATTTTGGGATGGCCGGAGATAAACTTATCTCAAACTGCTTGAGAAATGTTTTTCCATATATATATATAGCATATATATATATATATGGCTTATCGTTTCTCAAGCTGCTTGAGATAATCTTATCTCCGGCTACTAAATCATAACCGTACAAAGATGAATCAATGGTGATAAAGGAAGAGAGAGAAAAAGGGAATCATAACCATTCAAAGGTGAATCAATTAATATAAGGAAATAAATAAATAAAAGAGTAAACACCATTTTTGGTCCCTAACAAAAAACACGGTCTCCACTTTAGTCCCTTACAAAAATAAATTAGTCAGTTAGTCCCTAACAAATTCAAGACCCATTTTAGTCCTTTTGAGGGACTAATATGGGTCTTTTTTGAATTTATGAGGGACCACGATTTCAACTAAATGGTTCCACTTTGAATTTGTTAGGGACTAACTGACTAATTTATTTTTGTAAGGGACTAAACTGGGGACCGTGTTTTTTGTTAGGGACCAAAAATGGTATTTACTCTAAATAAAACGACGTAGTTTTGGAGTAGCCGGAGATAAACTTATCTCAAGCGGCTAGAGAAATATTTTTTCTATATATATCATGATTAACTTATTGTTTTTTTGTATCCAAAAAAAAAACTTATTGTCTTTTTGTATCCAAAAAAAAACTTATTGTCTTTTTAATTTTAAATTCAATTTTTTAAAATCTATACCCAATGTCTTTATGATTTTAAACATTTTCTTAAATATTTTCTAATATATTTTTTTAAATTTTAATCTAAATTCAAAAATATACCTACGATTAATATATGCACACGTTCACGTTGTATCTCATTCATTTCACACATGGTTTTTTTTTTTTTTTTTAAATACTCCACACATGGTTTTATTTCCTTATAACTATTAACATTAATCAGAACAGAACTATTAACATTAATGAATGAGGATTAGACTATCGTTGGTGATTGAACAATCGAGTGATCTTGCATGCATCGACATTAATACAGGATACGAGACACGACACGATACAACTGATATATTAATTCTAAAAAATGTAGATTTTGACACATTAGAATATATTTTGAAATTAAATAATATTTTTAATTTATGTAACGTATATTATATTTGATATTCAATAATTTAACAAAAAATAAAATTAAACTAATAATACCCATTAATTTTGCAAAGAAATATAAGATGTAAATATTTACTATTATATTTTCAAATTGAAGAATCTTTTATACACTTCAGTGAGATTTATTTAGTATCCATTTTTAATTTTTATTATATTAGTTTGATAAAAATTGATCAAATTTTTTTATGATATATAATAAAATTTTAAATATTATAGATGTTGGAATGTATCAGAGTATCGGATAAGATTAGGGGAGTGTCGAAAAATGTCATACACGATATTTTAAATATTTTGAAGTATCAGTAAAACAAAAATTCACTGAGACGAACATATATGCACAGGATAAATCATGGGTGGTACGGTGAGCAAGATAAAAAGTACCCAAACAAGTATGTTAATAATTCTTTTGTCTTCTGTCCATTTTTCCCACAAAACATATGATAATCACGTATGGCTATTAAAGCCATCTATATGTCCCTTATTATGAAAATTAAACTCATATTTATATTGAGAAAGGACAAGGAAGCAAAAGTGATGGCAAGAAAGTATTGTCAAGGAAATTAAAGAAAGTTTCAGGCAACTTTCGCAAAAGATGGTGCCCCCTCAAACATGCATGCAATTACAAAACTCAACTACCAGGAATCAATCTTGTCCTATTGGTGGTAAGCCATTAAAAAATGGGTGGTGCGCTTACCTTCAAAAGCCCTAAAGTTTTTGTGGGTTCCTCGAGCCTTCGTTGATTGTCGAGAAAAACTAAAATGGCCACATGTTTTTTGCACGGAAAGCAGATGGCCCAAAAAAGTAGGGATTATTGCAGGAAAAGCAATTTGAAAATAGATTATCTCGTAATAGAAAAGTGTGTGTCATTTTAAAGGATGTAAAATTATGTCATTTTAAGTTAGAAAAAGAGATAAATCATAGAGAATAGAGAGTGGACAAGAAAAAATAAAGGTGTGGGTCTCATGTCTTTGTAAGAGTGAAATGACATAAGTTGTGCCATTTAAAAGGATAAATATTTTTCCCTTTAAAAATATATAATATGATTATGTGAGAAAATCAAAATCATATAAAAATGAATCAAGGTTATAATTTTGTAATTATTTATTTTAATATTTTTTCTTTCTCTTCCTTAATCATTATTTATTTACCTTTGTATAATTATGATTCCTCACATGATTAAGTAATATTTTCTTTTAATATGAGATGAAACCCTTGAAGAAAAAAAAAAATTGTGTCATTTTAAAAGATGTAAAGTCATGTCATTTTAAGTGAGAGGAAGAGATAGATCATGAGAGAGAGTGGATAAAAAAAATAAAAGTGTGAATCCATTTCTTTGTAAAAATAAAATAACATAAGTTATATCATTTAAAAAAATAAACACTCTTCCACAAATAATCCCTACTTTTTTTAAGGGAGAAACAACTTGGAACAATCAAAGTTTGTGAGCCTTTGAAGAAAAATAGTAATAAAGATCAACGTGGTGCCATATAACGTTGCATATCTGATGTAAGTAATCTTATTTTGCTGCGCGCCATCTGTTATTCTTTAAGCCTCTGGGCTTTACATAAATTTAACATGCCTATAATTTTTTATCTGTAGACTCTCACGTTAAAAAACAAAATATGATGATATGAAAAATTATAATCATATAAAGATAAATTAATAATAATAAAAACATAAAGAGAAAAAAGTTTAAAATAAAAAATTTTAAAATTATAATCATTAATTCATCTATATATGATTGTGATCTTTATATATGACCATGTTATTTTTTTTAACATGAGAAGATCCATTTCTATAATTTTTTAAAAATAATTAATAAATAATAACATGTAATTGGAATTTGGAAGTACACAATGCATCTGCGACTGACACAGGTCGCTTAGGAAAGAATAGGGAGAGAAATAATAAAAAATGAATGGTGATAATGTAAAGTATGTGGGTCGTGCAAGGAAAATAAGATAACTGATTTAGGTCACTTTTTTATACACCTTGTTTATTTGAGTGGGAAACAGAAATAAATAATTATATACTAGGAAGTATATTTCTTTTAAGGATTTAATATTTTCTATGTAACTCCAAAATGATATTATTTTGGGGTTGGGGAGAAAAATTTGTCATAATAAAAATTAATATAATACCAAGATAAATCAAAATTATAAAAATATCTTTCCATTAACCCTTCTTTTAATTTATTATAAAAAAGTACAAAAATAATACAATGAAAAAGATGTGCAAATATTGTATGTAAAAGTAACGTTCCCCGTTTCAGGATGATAATGACAGAAATTCTGTATTCGTGCTTGTATTTTGTATGGAAATTTCGGTCTATAGTGGAATTTTTACTTTGAAACATGGCCAGTACACTGTCTCACTGATAAAAATGGGGGAACAAATTTACCAAAAAAAAAATGTGGGGGAACAAAAAGTAAGAGGTAAACTTTTTAGTCCTATTGCTATTCATTTTCGGTCTCACGCTTAAAGTTTTTTTTTTTTTGGTGGTTCACGCTTAAAGTTTTTTTAAATTTGAATAATCTACATTGACTTATTTAAGTAGACTCATTAGATTACACCAAAAAAAAAAAGTAGACTCATTAGAAGTATAAAGGTCTCTTCGCGCATTCTTTTTTATTCATAGGACTTGAATATGGGATCATACTTTAAGTAAAATCAAGTTATTTTTTTACTAAAATTAAGGAATTTTATCTAATTGTAATCTTAGCTTCTTTATCAAAAGATTAAGAGGATCTTTAAAGTCTTTATTCTTTTAATTCACAATTAAAATTATATTACAAGAGAGTTTATTCCTTTAATTCTTTTTGAATATAAGCATAAAATATAAAAGGTAGAAGAATGATTTATAAATCAAATAAGTTATTCTACCTAACTTTTGTGTGTATGTACTTTTATCTATATCATTTTCCAACACCATTAGATCAGAATCTCAATTTTATCATTTTTCTCTCCTATTGAGATTCTGATCTAATAGTGTTAGAGAATGATAAGTAAAAGTGGGCCAAAGTTAGGTAGAATAATGTATCTCTAAATAAATAAGGGAGAGATTATACTTATAACCTCTCTTCCTTTACCAATTCTTATAACCGTTTTTATGGTAGTTGGATCAAAATAAAATCAACGGTCACAAAATAGTGAAAGCTATTGATTTGATTTTGATCTGACCACTTAAGTGGTTAAAAGGAGGAAAAAGTTACAAGTATAATCTCCCTTTATAAATAAATAATTAAACTTTTGAGATAGGACATTATGCCTCTCTCTTTTTCATGCCTACACTACCTACTCATTTTCAACATCGTTATATCATAATCTCAACTAATATTTATTCTTTTTTCCTCCTCTTACTATTTTGATCTAATGATATTGAAAAGAATATATAGAGTAGACATAAAAAAGAAAAAAGAAAAATAGGCGTATAGTATCCTAACCCATGCAAGTGTTGTTTTCACAAAACCTTGTCCTTGACTAGATTTGCCGGACCTCTTTTTAATTAGAAGACAGCAGCCACTTCAACCCAGGTGGGGTTGGTCAAAGATAAAAACAGTATTAAGGCAACAACGATAATAAGTAACATCAACCGCGCGTGATTTTAGTTAGATGAATGGAATAAAAAGGAATATGTGATATGATCACGTCCCCATAAATAATACAAAAAACACCAACATTCATCTATCTCCAACTTTGTGACTAAAAAGAAGAGTACGTGGTGTGAAGGGAGACACAAAGTAAAAACGTAGGCAATCACTATGGAGGAAGTGGTGGAAGTGAAGAGAAGTACTAGACCGAGAGAGACACAGAACTCTCCCTTTCGAGTTCAGTTACATTCTAGATCTCCTTCAATGAGCTTAACCGATCCGTTCCCCAAAACTCCAATAAGCCCTTTTGCATCTCGTTTTATGAGCACTACTCCCTTAGCCAGCCCCATGAAGATGGCCTTTGAAAACATGCAAGGGTACCTCGAAGAAGTTGGTCGCTTCACAAAGCTTGACCCACAAGACGATTGGCTTCCTATCACAGAGTCCAGGAAGGGAAACGCGTACTATGCTGCGTTTCATGTGCTTAGTTCAGGGATCGGTTTTCAAGCCCTCGTTCTTCCCTTGGCCTTCACCAGTCTTGGCTGGTGAGTTTTCATGTTATATAATATATGCTAAAATATGTATTAATTGGGATACCATATCATATTCGAGTGCCTGACACTTAATTTTTTATTATGTTGGTGTTGGCGCAGGACTTGGGGAATCTTATGTCTCTGTGTGATTTTCACATGGCAGCTCTACACCTTGTGGTTACTGATTCAACTTCACGAATCGGACACAGGGGTGCGCCATAGCAGGTACCTTAGACTTGCTATGGCAGCATTTGGTAAGCACAATTATAAGTTTTATGCATATTATGTCACTGAGGCAACGAATTTAATTTATTATTATTTGTTTACTTGCGAATACCTAGTTGTTAAAGGAGCAGGGCTAAAAGCCTAAAAAATATATCTTTTTAGAAACAGAATAGCGAGACAAGTATAAATCTTCCAAATTTATTTTTATATATGTCATATTAAAATTTGTGTTTGAAAAATGAATTTTATTATAATATATCTTTTCATGTGTTTAGTTTCATTTTTATATAAATTTACTTGTCTCTGCAATCTGCATGTGAAATTGAATAAAAAAAAAGACAGTAGTTATAAAAAAAAAAAAAACTATAAATAAACCCTCACCTTCCTACTTCTAATATTAACATGTGTTAAAAACACGAGAAAAAGACAACTATATATTCTCATATTATATAATAATGATACTCAATGTGTATGTTCAAATATATAGTTCAAGAGAAAAATGTTTACCATTTTAAATGACATAACACTTTGTTCTTTTAAGAGAGAGAGACACATAAAAACAAATTTTATTTAAATTTTAAATTAAAAAAAATCACCAACTTTCTCTCTCTCATGATTTCTATTTTTCTGTGTCTATCTCTCTCCTAAAATGACATAACTTATGTAATTTAAAATGACAAACCAAACCTATAGTTCAATATTTAAAATAAAAAGGAAATTTAAAAATTTCTTTAAGATTTTTTAGGGATAGTATATAGATGAAAACAAGCTATGTTGATTGTATATTTCAAATTTAAAAAATAAATGAAGGAAACATGACTAAAATTAAAATATGATATTGTTTGTAACGTTGTGTTAGATAATAAAATCTTCTTTACCTAACAACTTAATTTTTTTAAATAATTATTTCATAATATGATACTAAAGTTAGTTTCTTTTTTTTTTTGGAAATACACTAAAGTTAGTTTCTTCATAAGCTTAAAGCGAAGACATATTTTTAAGGGAAAATAATATCTTAGGACCTGCAAACTGGATTACTCATGTTCAGTAACTTATTAACTTTACACGCTCCCCCCATAAAATTATATAATTAAATTATCATGTAATATATCTATCTCTCTTAAAATTAAGATTATAGTGTTAGAATTAAACTAAGACCTTTATGATTCTTTTCAATAAATGTTAAAACTAAATTATAGCATAGTCTTGTTAAATAAATAATATTCTTTCGCATCCTGAATTTAATTATCCATATTTCTAAAACTATTAATTTAGTTGTGTATGGCCGATACGTTTTATAAGCTTAATCTTGTTCTTGAAAAAACATAAAACGGACAAATGGTCTAAAGAAAGGACAGATGTTATTTGTTCATTGAAGTCAACGTTACTTCATACCATGCATCTGCCCCAAGAAACGTCATTTAAAGTTGAAAATGATACTTATGCAAACTTTTATTTTAGGGTTATGCAAACTCTATCACCATAGACAAATTCTAAGGTAGATTTATCTGAACTGTTTAGAAAAAAGTTAGAAATATAATGATGACTTTTATGTGAGTCTATGAGAAATTCACAGTGATAAAATCTTAACAAATATTATTTTCTTTGGAGATTTAAAATAATTATAACGCACATGATTAACATATGACAGATGCTAAGTGATGTGATTGTATTCTAGATGTATCTAAAATGTGTCTCCCTCTAATCAAGCATTGGGGCTTGACTTTAAGTGGCTCTTTAAAGATAAAAAAAAAATCCGTCTAATATATTTTAAGCTGTGTAAAGTTGGTCCATAACTTCAACAACTTGAACAGAGAAAAGTAAAAGCAAATATAATTTATAATTTCCGGTCTATCTATCGTTATCCATGGTTTAAGGGTTTTATAAAAGTTACATCGGAAAAGTGATTATGTTATGTTATAGAGATTCGTTTTGTGTATCGTAATTTTTTTTTTTTTCTTCAAAATATACGAGCCCCACAAGATATTATGTGTGTAGAAAAAAATTTGTAATCATGTTAAATGACGAATGCAAACCCCATGGTTTAATCATATAACTAATGTTTATCATCTGTTGGCCAAAAGAAATCTCAGTCAATTAACAAGAAAAAATATAAACGAAATTGCAGGAGAAAAACTGGGAAAACTACTGGCACTCTTCCCGATCATGTATCTATCCGGGGGAACGTGCGTGACGCTGATTATGATCGGAGGTGGCACAATGAAGATATTCTTTCAGATTGTGTGTGGAGAGGCATGCACATTACACCCACTCACAACCATCGAGTGGTATTTGGTGTTTACTGGCACAGCCATTTTGATTGCTCAGCTTCCAAACCTGAATTCAATCGCAGGGGTTTCCCTCATTGGAGCCATCACGGCTGTAGCTTATTGTACTCTGATATGGATAGTATCTGTAGCCAAAGGCAGACTTACTCATGTTTCCTATGAGCCACTAAGGGGACAATCAGAGGGCAACAGGATTTTTTGTGTTTGGAATGCACTCGGTATCATTGCCTTTGCTTTCAGAGGTCACAACCTTGTGCTGGAAATACAAGTAACGTCAAAATTGGCCTTTGATTTTATCTTGGAACGTTTTTTATTTTTTTTAACAGTTAAATTAAAAGCATTTGTTATATTCTCCATGAATTGAAATGTCAATGTTGTTGTAGGGTACTATGCGTTCGGATGCCAAACAACCCTCACGCTTGGCCATGTGGAGAGGTGTTATGTTTGCTTATCTAGTCATTGCCTTGTGTTTGTTTCCCCTAGCCATCGGAGGTTATTGGGCCTACGGAAATTTAGTAAGTGCTATAATGTTTCCAATTATTGACTTGGCGACTTTGACCATATAAGCTAACGCCTTGCTCTTTGATGCCAGATACCTTCCAACGGAGGGATGTTAGGTGCATTGCACAGATACCACGAACATGATACATCAAAGTTTATCATCGCTTTGTCAAGCTTGCTAGTTGTCATTAACAGCCTCAGTTCATTCCAAATCTATGCAATGCCAGTATTTGACAATCTGGAATTTAAGTACACCAGCAAGAAGAACAGACCTTGCCCGCGGTGGCTACGAATAGCCTTCAGGGGACTCTTTGGATGCCTAGCATTTTTTATTGCCGTAGCTTTACCATTCTTGCCAAGTTTGGCCGGTCTGATTGGAGGCGTTGCTCTACCAATAACTTTAGCTTATCCCTGTTTCATGTGGATAGTGATTAAGAAACCGAAGAGATATAGCACAACTTGGTTTCTAAACTGGACACTCGGAGCTGTTGGTATGATTCTGAGTGTACTGGTTGTCACAGGAGCCGTTTGGGGCATAGTAGCACTGGGCATAAAGATCCACTTCTTCAATCCATAGTAAAAACATGAAATTATACTATTCTCAATCACGACCCTGGAGAAATACTTGTAGCTAAATACTTTGAATGTTGGTGGTGACCCATTAAAGATGAAATTGAGATAATACTTCATTTGTAGCCACCACAACCATTCTATTCTAATTGTTGGTATCCTTAATGAATCACGGGACAACTTTATGTCAAATGTATGGGAATACAATGAAGTTAACATGCGTAATGTACCAATAAGAAAAATGAAGTTAATAGATAGAACCGCCCAACAAATATTTCATTAGAAAATCACAAATCTGCCAGTTCTTGAGACAGATATGGATATTTTCACATCGTACAAAATGAATTTAACAAGGTTTACATTCTTCATACAAGACTTACACCACAGGAATTGTATCCAAAAGCTAGTAAAGCTTAACTTGTGCACAATATCACACCATTAGAACTATGTCTCACATATGTCGTCATTACACAAGAATTTATCTGATGGTATTTGAACTTTCAAATGTAAGTACGTAACACTATCAAGGGGTCAAAAACTGAATTGTAACTTGCATCAGTTGCCCGAAGTACACAGAAACGTAAACAGCAAAGGAAATGCCAAATATATGTGACAAGACCCTAGCATTAGTAAGCTATCCCACCTCCCATAATGATCTACATCAACCGATTGGATAAGCTTGGGTTGATGTAAAAGCATCAATTATATACTTTAGTCGACTTGCCATAGGCAGAATCAGAAGTTACACAATCCAGTGATGAATGAGAAGCTGGGCCAATGGATATGGTCAAGACCCCATTCCAGTAAAAAGGTGGGAAGAGAAAAGGAAATAAGCCAAAGATCAAGACTTGATACCATTTTACATCGACAAAGGAAGAAGCATCCTTCGTTTCTTTTTCCTTGCCAGTCTCACTTGTTTTGTAATTTTCATGCATAAAAGCAATAGCACTGTGATGCAGACTAAAATAAAAGCAAGCCGGATGTGCTTAAAGTACAAAGAGACAACTGAAAAAACCAAGAAAGCTAAAATAACAAGTTCCCATATTACAAAGATCACCACATCCACTCTGCACCACAATAGAGAGAAAACAAAAGACATCAATTTCATCTTATTATGTTATCCAAAAAGCATTAACAAACAGACAGCAACTATCCAACTAAAAAGACTCCACACTGCAAGTATTTTATAAGCAATTTAGGACCCCCAATCACTTGTCTGAATGCAACTGCACCAGACAGTAACCAATCCAAGCAAATAAACACATTTGAACTTATTTGAAATTGAATGAAGTTAAATTTTTGTTAATATTAAGCCAAGTAAACACCATTATCCAGCTGAATCAGATATAAAAAACATCAATGTTCAAATTTATCCGATTGTAATAGTTACCAACAAATCATTTGTGAAATCTGAAAGCAATTAGGATATCCAACTTCAGCAGGAAAGAACTTAAGCAGGTAGAAACAACAACGGTGATCAGTCAACATTCCTTCACCCTCCTCACCCCACCCAAACTTTCTTAAATGTATAGGTAAAACATTATTGTTTTATTGCAATTTGCAATACCTTTTCAAGTTCAACAAAAATGTACCTATCGATGATTACAGATGATTCAAAAGGCCCGGGAAAACAATTATATAATCATCAAATACACACGCTATCAACGGAAGAAAAAAGATTTATCAGTATGAAGTTGGAAATATTTTAGAGAGCCCCCTTAATATTAAACAAGCAAAACCTTTTTCAAAGCAGCAGGATATCTGATATCAAAAGTGTATGGCAAGAGGAGATCCAGATTGAATAATCATCATTAGTGATTAGTGATTCCAAAGAAACAGTTTGTTCGATAAATAAAGCTATACCTGTCATCCTAGCCAATTGTGCTAAAAATTGGAACTTAACTCTAGAGTCTATACAAGCATTCCAGTATATATAACTCCAAGATCAGATTAAATAACATACCAATCTTCTCCTACTCCTATATATCACAATCCCCCAACGTAACTACTACCTATACCCTTATTTTGCTTTTGTAACCAATGAATTTGATAGCTACTTGAAGCCACTTTTCACCACCGCCCAATTTCAACACTATGCCCCGCAAGTCAATGCATGACATAGAAGTCATTTTTCAAGATTAGTTTTTTTTTTTTTTTTTTTTTTTTTGTATTCGTTGACTATCCTATATCCTGGTTAAGAAAGCCTACCTCAATTTGGAGAACACCTCTTTTCAAATCTCAAGACTAGGCACAACCAACACGATACCCAAATCAAAATGTCTAATGGTATGCACAAAAACAAAAAACTGGCGCGTGCCTGTGAACAAATTGAATAGTAATCCAAACAATTCCCGGCAAAATTAAAAAAGAAAAAAACGTGCTACCCCATTGCAAATTAAATTTTTTTAAAAACTAGCAAGCCCAGAAGAATTTTCGATTCAAATAAGCAAATAAAAACTCGAATCGTGTGACCCCATGAGTGCAATAATCGCGAGACACAAACAATAAACGGAGAAAATAAAAGGGAATTCAATTAATAACAGGGAAAAGATTCATAATTTGAAATTTTTATAAATAAAAGCAATGTTTGATTTGGCATACCTGGAAGTGGTGATATTTGGAGAAGTGGAGGAGAAGAACGAGAAAGAGGCCCAGTCATGCTTGGATCGAATCTGATACTCTCGCAGCTGTTCGGCCAGATTCGATCGCGTTATCATGGTGGCCTCTCTCTCTCTTTCCTCTCAAAGCAGGAAGGAACTCTCCGATTCTCTCTCTAAAACGAAAACGTCGACTATGGCTACCTTTGCACGGAGCCAGATATGAATTTGATTAGGGAGATACAAACCAACCAGCGTCCAATCTGTTCTAGTTTTAGCTGTCAAACGGGCCGGTACAAGCCCAACCATCTGGCCTTGTATTCAAGCCCAATTAAGGAAACCACTGTTCTATTCTCAGAGCTGAAGTCATCAAAATGGAAAACGACACAACGACAATTTAATAAACAATGATAAGGCACTTCTGCTTATTCAGGCTCTTTGACCACAGCGGTACTTGATCTTTTTGGTATTCGTTTGGCATATTTTATTAAGGGCCTTTAAATTCTGCGGAGGCCCGGTGAATTTGAGTCCCGTTTCATCTTTCTCGCGAAACTTTTTTTTCTCCTTTTTTTTGCCTTCTATTAGTGTATTATCGGTGCGATACACTAAAGAAAAAGATCATAAATTTTGTCAACGAGCATCATTGATTAATTTCTAAAAGAAAGAATATGCCACTATATATATATATATATATATATATATATATATATATATATTAGTGTATTACCTGCGCAATGCACAGAAAAATATCAATTTGTCTGTCTCGTAAAATTAATGCAAACCGTAAAAGAATATGGCTGCATTTTTTTCAATTAAGATAATGAATGGTCTTTTGAATTACCACATTTAACTTCAACAGTGCAATGTTTAATTTTTTATCTTTTAATTTAAAATTATTATATTAGTTATACATATATATTTAAAGTATTTATGTTTAAAAAAAATTACTTGTATGAATTTTTTGTTCTCTTCTTCTTCTTGTAATAAAATTATAATTTATTTTCTTTTATAGTACAAAAATGTCATATCTTATTTGTTTGCAATTAAATTTAAAATTTAAATTATTTGTTATCAACCATACATATATTTTTATAATTTTAAATATTTTTTATGCAATCTATAATTTTACATTAAATTTAAATTTATTATTTATATATATACATTTTTTTCTCATTACGAAAATATTAAATACTGAACTCTTTCCCTACGTATCAAGTTTAAAATTCAAATTTAAAAAGTTTGAGTTTAAAATATTAAATATTTTTCCACCCAATAGACATAATAATAAATATTATTAATAAGCTTAAAAAAATTTCATGCAAAAAGTTTGAGTTTAATTTATTTTCTTTTAAAGTATAAATAAGTCATTCTTTTTTTGGAAGTTAAATTTCATAATTAAATTATTTTTTATCAACTTTACATATATTTTTATAGTTTTAAATATTTCTACATTTTTTATATCATCTTTCTCGTGGAATTTTTTTCCTTTTTTTGTTCTTCGTATAAGTGTTGTTTATGAAGCACCGACATTTCAAAAATTCTTATGTGTAGAAACTCATATTGTAGAAACTCAAAAAAGTATTCAAAAATAGTGTTTCGTTACGTTTTTAGTACCAACTATTAGATTCGTTAGATTATAATTATCATTTTATTGCGTTTAATATAAATATTTAGGATATCTTATGTTTTTTGCAAAATTGATTGGTATTATAAGTCTAGCTTCACTGTTTTGTTAAATTATTGAATATTAAATATAATATACACTACATAAATAAAAAAAATTATTTAATATCAAAACGTGTCGAAATCTAACATCTTTTAGAATTAACATGTTGGAGTATTGTGTCGTATCTCGTGTCCGATGTCAGTGTCGGTGCAACATAGAGTGCTGCGACCCAAGCAACTTATACGAGTGTGCCAAGTGGCACAATTCCCCTACCATAGGTAGTCCTGTTATAGTAAAAATTTGGAAGGCTGTAATTTTTTACTCGGGTATTCAAATCAGAATTTTTTTTTATTTCGCATAACTTTTTGAGTTATATCTCGAAAAGCTATGTAAAATAAAAAAATCATCTGATTTGGATACCTTAGTAAAAAAGTTATGACCTTATGAAGTTTAATGGTAGCGGGACTGTCTACGTGGCACTGACATGACTTTAGTTCTGTCAGTACCAATTATGTGTTTGACTATATTAGTTTGGAAAAATTTATCCAATCAGCTTAACTGGGCAATTCTTTTGCCAAACAGTCTTAGAAAGGTGCTTCTGCTGGTTAATGCGTAGTGTTTGGTATTATGGATATAAACGCTCTTGTGAATGTGGTACCATTGTTATAAATTCAAACTATGTTTGTGAGAGATAAAATATGTCAAATGAGGTGTCATTGCGTAGATCTCAAAAAGTTATGTGAAATAAAAAAATCATCTAATTGTTGGGCCGAGTAGGGGGACTTTACGGCGAGGAGAGACCGTCAACCATGGATTAAGTGAACAACCACATTAAGTGGGATTGGAACACCACAGTCAAACCCAAAACCTTAAGGTAGTGTTTGGTTCGGAGCTTCTGGAGATTATCCCAGCAAAGTGCATGTGGGTATCTCATTTCTCCACGTTTGGTTGAGGGATAAGCTGAAATTTGTCCATCAAAGTGGCTTCCCTGGCAATCGACATCCGCGTGTAAAAATTGGAGTTTTGCACTGATGAAGAAGCCCTTTTGGATGATGGTATTGTTGTGAATACCGGACAACTCTTTTTTGGGGATGAAATATGACGAATTTACCCCCTTGCTAGCAGAATCTGAGGATGTTTGCCAGCTTCTTAAAAGGAAGCAAACGAGACATCGAAGAATATGCAGACATCGAAGAAATTGTATATTTATGGAAGCAAACGAGAACAGAGATGTGGCCTTATGTTTATTCACTTTGTGAAATGAGATCTTCATTGGGGGAGCTAAGACAGAAGCTGGATCACTTGGATGATTACTGTTTTCAACTTGAGGAACGATTTGAGGCAAGCATTGCAGTCAAGGGACCCAATCATGTTTGTGAACAACTTAATAATCTTCAAGTGAATATGCAGACAGCCTTTGATTAGTCAGGCACACTTTCTTGATTCAAGTTCTGGGTTGTAATATGGAAGACAGAGTCACGAAGGTTGCAATAAAACCAAGGTGTTTTTATAAGGATAATTTTGTAATTTGATTAACTTTTCCCATCAATATTTTATCTTCAACCAAACACATATTACAGAAATTTCATTCAATTTTCCTGGTAAAATTTTGTCTAACCAAACAACTTTTTTAAAACTTTTCTATCTAACTCACATTCCCTACAGATCCCTAGTATTTACATTTCCCTAGTATTAAAAAATTTCACCTCAACCAAACACTACCTAAGGCATTAGGTGTATGAATCATTCCACTCATATGGTGCTCACTTAGTCCATTCTTAACTAATGTGAGACTTTTTCACTCAATCATTCACACTCAGATTCAGAACACTTATTTGGATACTCGAGCCAAAAGTTATCATTTTTAAAAGTTTTACGGCAATGAAACTGTCAATGATAACGACATTATGCCACTTGATACATCCGTGTGAGTTCTCTAAAGGCGATTGCAACACTCACCTGAACAAAAAATTGTGAGTTCCGTGGAAGAAGAGGTGCAGATGCAAACCCATCGGACCCTTCACGGAACTTGAAAGTCCCCCTTGGTAAAATATGTTATTAGGATACCAAATTGGTAAATTAAGTGTTTAAAAACCGTTTTTGGGTCAAAGAGGCTTATTCAACTTGTATGGATCCAGGCTGGCCCGATAAAGAAGGAGATAGAGCAGCCTTTTTTTTCGTGTGGTCAAATCAAGGAAAAAGAGCTTAGTTTGGGTTTTCCCTTCATGTAAAAAAAAAAAAAACTCAAGGAAGTGATGTAACAAAAAAGAGACAATTGAATAGACTAGTAGCTGTAAATTGTAATTAATCAATTTTAAAAAATGTTTAAATTACAAATTATTTACTTCAATATTTAATATTTTTAACGGATTATCATTTGGAGTCGTATGTATATGCATCATATGAGATTGGGTGGGTGAGTTGGTTTTGTATTCCGATGGCTTTTTCTTCAGCTTCACCGAGTTCGGGCGGCGCCGCCGGGCATTCGAAGAGGGCATTAGGGTTTTTTAGGAATGTCATGAAACAAAAAGACGGATTCATTCAATTATTCGCGATGACGGGAATTCTGCTCTTAAGCATGAGATCTTTGGGGCAGAAGTACCGAATGCATGGGCTTGAAGAGGATACACACGCGCTGAAGGAGGAGCACAACTCACTCACTGATCGCATGAAAAACATCAAGGGCGCACTGCTTCACGAAGCTTCTCAAGACTCCACCGGCGTCTTCGCTTCTCGTCTTCGCCTTCTCTTCGGCGAACAATATTGATCCCCTCCTTCCCTGTGAGTTATAGATAGGCTCTTATGCGTCTTTGCCTATTGTTTCTATGCTTATCAATCTCTGGATAAAATAATGTAAACCCTCGTGACTTGTAGAAACTATGTTTGTTCTGCCTCTTAAATCTGATAATGAAAATTAGACTCGTAAATAAAAGTCTTTGACGGTGATTGTTGCTTGCTAGGAATACATTGGTCTGCTTATGGCATGGTCGTGGTTCTTGTTGAGGATGTTAAATGTTTGTACTTCAAGCATACCTTAAAATTAAATGTAATGTGCGGTGAGAATGAATAAAGAATGAATAGAAGGGATAGACGCATCTTTATATACATTTAGAAATTGGAATACTTGGAAACTAACTGTGTTGTGAATACTGGACTTGCAATTTACTGTTGCCTGTTCATGATCAGATAACTTTTCTTCTCAAATGAGGTTCAGTGCTTAGTAATTATGTGTATGTTGTTTATCTGTTTATATATGAAATGACTTTGTTGGAGTACTACTTCATCTCCTTGAAGATCCTGATGAAAAATCATTGTTGATTGTTCCTTCCAGCACACATTAACTGCAATAACTTCCTTAGTTGTTGAACTGTTGTGGATTTAGAACCAGGTCTGTATCCCCCAAAGGGTGTAGTATGTTGATCTCTAAGTAGCTTTGGTATGAACCAAACCACAGAAAGAGTCACCGGAGTGCAATGCAGAAGTAACTGCAAGGAAGGGGGGGGGGGGGGTTGTATTTTGGCTAAGGTGGCTCTAAATCTCAGCGGAGTAACAACTAATAAAAGTGTAAGAAATCAGGTACCTCTTCAATGGAGGAAGAAGGGTCTATATAGGGGAATAAATATTCCCTAATGATAAGAGAAAGAGGGAAAAAGCTAAGCCAAAACCGTTAGTCTTGTCTCCACTATTGCAGTGTGGTGTCTGCTCCCATCGTGCGTGTGCGATGGTGAGCTGTGCAAGGAGAAGGGGATTCTCTAGGGTGAGGTTCCATTGCTCACCATGGAGTATCATCTAGAAGATTCCTATCCTAGACCCTTAGCATTGGGCCCAACCTACTGGCCTGTGGAGGTCGGCCAGAACAGTTATACAGTGATTCAATTGGTTCCCAAAGTTTGTTTGATTTTGTGCCAACTGCCAAGGCAGCACGCTCTGAAAACTTCAGCAGTTGTGGAGTTTATTAGGCATATATCCAAGTCTGAATCCACTCTCATATACATCCTTGAGCAATTTACTTTGATTGATAATTGGAAACATTCAGTAGATCTGGCCTTGGGTGAAAGTCAGTATTATTTGAATCAATGATATATCAGTATTCAAGTGTCCTCCCCCTGACCTTGTTCCCTATGCTTGGGTTGCTTCAATATATGCCATCTCTCTATCTCTCTATGCTTTCTGGATTTGGTTAATTCCTTATCAAGGCTTTGCTTTTATAACTGCTTTCTCCTGCGCACTCTGAAAGCCAAACAAATTAACTATCGTCCATGTGATTTGGCCTCTTTTCCCTTTGCCGAATGTTTTATTTGATTATCATGGTATGTGCCCCTTTTCCATTAGCTAATTCGATGCAAAATAGTTCAGGCTGGCTATTTGATGCTACCCATACACACGCACCTCGTTTCACACTTGATTAACCAACTAACAGGCCTCTTTAACTAAAAATCTGTTTATACTTTACCACCAATTTCATTCTTTCATTTACTTAGTAAAAACCTTAAAGATCTGTTGTAAGGTTATTTGTGTAGGATAATAATTACTTTTAAATTAGGTTGTAACTCATTACCACAATTTCTTTTAAATTGGCCTAAAAGATCATCTTCCCATAGGATGATGAATACCTTTTAGGTTGTAACTATGATCATAATCCCTTTTAAATTGATGGTTAAGTATACCAAATTTTTGGTCAAATAAGTTTGCTAGTTAATTAATCAGATGAGATGTGAGGTGATGTGTTAAGTGTGTGTGAGTAGCAGAATTGATTCTCAAATTTACTTTCTTTAGTATAAGAAATTATTTGGCAATAGGTGTTAGCTATTAAACCAACAGGAGAGGATTTGGATTTTTTTCAAGGTTTTGCTAACAACTGTCCTATGAAACTTGTTAAGGAATTAAAAATAAGAACTTTTAATTGAAAAGTGAATTTTTTTTTAGTTTTAAATGTATTAAATATTTAACTTTTTATTTGATTTTGTTTTTTAACAACCGCCCATCAGGTCACTTTTAAGCAAAATCGTCTGAAGTATTGCGTTTGAACCTCCGAGATGTTCTTGGGCAGGAATTACTTACTATAGGCACACTCCCCCGTGTTGTTGAAATGCGAGTGACGTTCCTATGGTAGGGATAAAACTTAACTGCTCTAATGTTTCAGTACAACAAGCATTCATTTATCTTAGGATAAGTAGGTGGATTTGCTCAAATTTCTAGGATTAAGGATCTGCCTACATATCCTAGGATCAGTGCGACGGGAATACTAAAGAAGCGCTCCTATAGTAGGCTACGTCTTTCCAAATATCCTAGTATTTCGGGAACGTTTTTGCAGTGACTGTATAGAAATATAATATTAAGGGGTAGGATATTGTAACAATCAAGTAGGGTTACTACCATGTTACTACCAATCAATCTCACCGTTAGATTAATTTTTTGATCCGACAGTCCTGATTTGATCTTTATATAGACCTTCTCTCTTCCCTTCTCTCTCCCCCCTTCTCTCTGACTGTACTCTTTGCCGCCGCCGCCGCTGCCCATAGCCGCTGTCGCGCCGCCCCACTCCACCGTCACCGCCCATAGCCTCCCCACTCCACCGCCTCGCCGCCGCCGTTTTCAACTATACCTAGTAGTAAGTCGTTTTCAACAAGCAGAGGTTAGTCGTTTGGTGAAATGAGATTCATTTTTTTATGAAATTTTGTTGGCATTATGTTTCGGGTCACCTGTTTGATTCTTCAAAATGAATAATTTGTTTTGATATAGCTTGGATTTGTGTTAGGTTCTGAAATTTGAGTATACAGTTGGATGTTGATTTCGATCTATTGTAAATACCAAATACCTCGGGAAGCAATCGAAGAGGCAAAATAGTCCTTAAATTTACAAGCTGCAGAAAGTCATGATGATTTACACAAACATGTAGTTTTGGGGGGGGGGGAGGGTAGAGTCAGAGAGAAGGGAAGAGAGAGGGTCTATAGAAGGATCAAATCAAGACCGTCGGATCAAAAAATCAATTTAACGGTGAGATTGATTGGTAGTAACATGATAGTAACTCTACTTGATTGTTACAATATCCTACCCCTAATATTAATCTGAATCAATTTTACATTTATAGATACTGAATTTCCTTTGCAATATTTAATAAAAGTGCAGTTGACAGTCCATGCGCTTTAGGGGAAAATTCTCATCAAAGTGATTAAACCAGACAGTACTTATATGAAAAATAACGACTGGGATGGCGAGCACGAATCTTTGAAAATATTTTATCGCTCTACAGCGTAAAAAGCCAGAAGAGATTGAATCATATTTTGATTGCTAAGGTCGCATGAACCTTTATTACCTATATGTTTATTTTCCACTCCATGGCCGACTCCCAAAAGCAACACCTTCTTTAGCTACAGAATAACTCCTGATAACCGGATTCGGCTATTGCTGCGAAGACAGTGGGAAACGAAGCTCAGTCATACCTTTAGAGAAGGTAACGACGTGGCAGATGCAACGGCTTTGAAAGGGAGCCAAGTAGATAACTGGATTTTGCAGATTTATCTTGAGATACCAATGGAGTATAGGGATCTAATGAGAGATCAGATGGGTGTCACTTGCCCTAGATTTTGTAACCCCCTGTAATTGTCTCTTTCTGTTTCCCTGATTTTCAAAGAAAAAAAAGAATAACTCCTGATAATATGTGCCAGTTCTTGTAATATATGGCTCAGACCAATTGGACAATGGACATGTGCATTCATTAAAATGTGGAAGCATTTTAAACAATGTACGCGTGCTTGTTGGTATATGAGTACCATATGACCATACATATATTTGATAATCACATGCAACTAAGATTTTTATTGTGATCAGGGTTGTAGCTTCGTCCAAAATTTTGGTGGCGGAAGCTTGTCATGAAGAGGTGTTTTGCTTGATTTCTTATAGGAAAATATAAAGATTATGTTGCAGGAAACTTCGAATGTCATACAATAGAGACAATTATTGTGGGGCCATCGGTTTGTTAAAAAAGGAAAAAGAAAAAGGAGCAACTCTGTTTTTGAAGGATCAATAGGACAAAACTTTTGTTTCCTGAAACACGACAGATATAAAACCCTTTTTATATGACGAAAATAACATCACCATAATGAGAGTAGCTAGAGCAGGCACATCTGTTTTTTAATTTGTTAATATCACCGTACTGGTAGCATATTAACTTTTAGAGTGAGGATATTCTAATTATCAAAAACTCTCACTATTAATTTACTACTCATTATATCACCATTGGATTAAAGAGAGAGAATGTTAAAAAGTTTTTGAAGAGAGAGAAAATGTTAATCTAATGGTGATTAGATAGGTAGTAAGTTGGTGGTAGAAAATTTTAGTAGTTAAAATATTCCTCCTTTAACTTTTAATCAAAGGAATCCAAAAATTTGGAACCATTGTAGCTACCAATGTTGCACCGACACTGACACGGGACACGACACGACACGTCGACATATAAATTTTAAAAAATATCATATTTCGATACGTTGGGATACGTTTTGATATTAAATAAATTTTTTAATATATATAATATAATTTATATTTAATACATATAACAGTCCATAATAGTCATATAACCAATTAAATATTCAAATTTCGTAATATAAATATAAACAAAAATAATTTTTTATACTTTGTTAATCTTTTATATCAAATTTCATAACAGAATTTTTTTTTTTTATGTTTAGTTAATAAAATAAAATTAAGACTAAAAAAAACGTCAGATACGTGTTGGAGCGTTGACTGCGTGTCGAAAAATGTGTCGAAACGTGTCGGAAAGTTGATCACATGTTTTAAAATATTTACCGCGTGTCGAACCTATTTTGGGACACATGTCGATGTCCGACACGCATCTTTTACTAAAATAAAATAGCGTGTCCGGCTATCAGAGCTGCCAACCGCCAACAGAGTTCCGCGGATGTATGATATATCATTTTAAAGTGAAAAAATTAAGAGTATATCAATATTTGATTTAACTTAATGTGCATTTTGAAAAGAATAATTTTTTTAGTTAAACTGTTGTGGACATTTTGATTTAACTTTATTTTGAGCCATTAATATCAATTCCTCATTAATTTCCTTTCTTTTATATAAATATGTCCACAATAATTTAATTCTCTTGTTAACTTTTTATCTTGCTAAAATAATTCCAAAATATAATATTGAAAAAATCTCATTCAGATATTTAATTATTGATATGCTTTTTAATCTAAATTTATTATTGATATATTTTCATTATATTATTTATATAGTTCGTTTAAGAAATATAATTTTATGGTATAATAAATTAATACATTATTATTATATTTCTTTTCTTTTCTTCTATTTTTTTATTTAGTATTGGGATAAAGATATTCTTCATATTGAATAAAGTAATATAAATGTAATTACTTATTAATCATATGTACTAAACTATGAATAAATAATTTGAAATTTGATAATTATTTGTTTAAGATTAATGATTGTAAATAAATGTAAGAAATCCATGTATTTAAAGCATGGTTGGTTGAGCGTTTGCTTGATGTAGGCATTGATTTACTTTCATCAAATGAGTTTTTGACCGAAAAATAATAATAAATGATTTGTACATTTTTTTTTCAGTAAGGGTTTTGTACATTTTTCATTTGCATCAAGAAACCATGATTCTTTTCTCAAACTGGGATTTGAATGAAAATACAAATGTATTATTTTCTGTGGAAGGTATTTATTTTAGGGGCCGGGTATATTAAAACTCTTTTAGGGAGCGTTTGGTAGAGGGAAATTTTTTTTAAATCTGGGAAATAATTATTACTGAAATATAGTGGGAAATATATATTTTCTGGAATATTAGTAAAAGTGTTTGGTATGGTAAAATTTTCCCGGGAATTTATGATTAATTTTACTGAATATGTGTTTGGTTAGTTGTGAAATATTAGTGGGAAAGAGATGTTATTTTACGAAATTAACCTCATGTTTACGTTTTTTTTAGACAAAGAAAAGGGTTTGGTGTGAGATACATTCATTAAGAAAGAGATAGTTTTGAAATAAGGTGATCGGTAAAATTTGTGAACCTGTGGTTGCATGGAGGCCGCCTTTGTTCTTTCTTCAGGTTCGGTAATTGTTTCTTTTTCTACTCAATTTACTTTTCTTTCTTTTTTTCATTTTTGTAAATACTTTTTGGTTTGTCAATCCATCTATTATTTTGGTTTACTGTTACCATTTCTTTCGCTGGTTATCTTATCAAAGTGAGTGTGGGTTGCTGTTTATCTTCCTCAATTGGGTTTCTTTACTCCCCCAAAGTTTCAGTTGCAGGTTCTTACCAAAATGAAGGATAATTTCGTAAATATTCGCACGCCTCATTTTCTGTTTTCCCGGGAGCGAAAGAGTTCTATCCTATGAATGGAGTTTCAGATTTGTAAAATGTACTGTACATTGCACATGAGAAGCTTTGCTGGGATAATTTTGAACACTGGATTTTTTTCATTTTCTGTGAACCAAACATGGGATTCTTTGATGTCATAGCATGCAATCCCGGGGAAAGTAAAAAAATCCAGATACCAAACGCCCCCTTAAAACCTTCTTATTTTTTTTCTCTCTATCTTCATCCTCCCTCCACTCTCTAGTTTTACGGAAAACCTCCCTGCACTACAGTTGTTTCTCAAACAACTTTTTCCCTCAATAAAAAATTTCCAAAACACCTCCCCTGCCATTTATCTCTTCCACATTTTTTCTTGATATTTAAAACATAGTGATCAGTCCAACAAATATTGATTGAGCTGAGACTGATCACACACAGTTGAAGGTAAAGAATGTTGGTGAAGAGAAAGGTTGATGATAATGAAATTTGTCGAGATGCTAGGTGCTTAGCGAGCTTGATATTTGGGCATTTTGAAGGAGGCTGAAAGTACATGTAAGATGCTCTGACATTCAAGTCAGTTCAATATTCAATATAGTTTAAATATTTAGGGATAAATAGATTATCTGAGTTGAATGCTTCTATATTTATAGTGGGAATATGTCTTGTTTCATGTCGCCTTTCAATAGTGGTGTCAATTTCCTTTGCTTGAGAATGGTGGCCTTTCATAGGCTATCCCTTGGGCGAGAAGCTTATTGTCAGACTAGCCCTAGTAGATGAAGTGACAAGCTGATGCTGCCATTCATTCATTAGTTCATATTGAAGTCAAGTTGCCCTGTGCTTCTAGTAAATGATGTTTCCTTATATGCTAAGTTACTTTGGCCTATTAGCCAAGTAGATGAGATGCCAACAATTTATATGCGGGATGGACTTGGTTCCTTCAGGATTAAGTTTATGGTTCTTGGGCCCCTTGAACCTTTACTGGATTGGACTTTCATCTCGCATATATTAGATCAAGATCACATAGCAAGACTGAATTAAAGACTATGGGAAAATCTGATTCCAAAATTGGATCTTGCAAATTTTCAAAATAAATAATTTACGTCTTCAACATTTTGTAACAAATTTTCCATATCGATGTTGTAAACTAATACATGATTCAATTAAGGGTTTTATGTTTGTTATGTTACATGATGTAACATATGTTTTTAAAGGGATATAATCATAGCTTGTTTGCATAACATTTCATTTCTTCCCCTCTAATACCCAAATTATCGATATACAAAACATAAAAAGGGATAAGATGAATTGCAGTGGAGGTGTTCTGGAATTTTTTGATTGAGAAACAAACGAAAGGGTGCAGGGAGGTTTTGCGTAAATCCATAGATTGGAGAGAGAAAAAAAATTAAGAATCATTGATTTAGAATTAATCCAACAATTCTAAAAAAGATTGTAAACTTAATAGGTTGTAAATATAACATGGCCCTTTATTTTAATTTATTTTTCTCCAATAATATTTTCTACATTCTAAACTTTTTTACATGTCAAACAACTTTTTGATAAAATAAAATAAAATTTATATCCTTTGAATAATTACCCAATAAAGTCATTGTAATTAATATTATCCAAAATAATATTCACTTTTCAATATGCGCAGGTATCCAAACATAAACTTTATTTGAAGCTCCCTTTTTATCAAAATTAATTTTATAAATTAAGAGGATTCAGAATAAAATTTACAAATATTTATCCAATCACACACGTAATATTTATTAGGCCGGAAGTAACTAAATGCTGAATGAGCATGGCTATCCGTTACTAGTACAATATGGCAAACGTAAAATTCAAATAGGAAACTGCAAGGCAATCACGATGAGATATCTATATTTCTATCTTTTGCCACAATCAAGGAAGTGATGAAAGAAAAAACGAAGTTGTGCAGTTTATAAAAGTAGCAAGCAAATGAATAATTTAGTTTTCTTTACCCACTGATTGTCACTTTTAAGTTGTAAATTGATCTAGAGTTCAAGGACAACCAAACAAAAGTAACAATCCTCTATTGTCCTATATGGGGCCATGTCATCCATCAAGGGGCGCAGATAAAAGTGGAAATTGCGTAGCAGCGTTACTGCCTCTGCATTTACCGAATTACTGTGTTTAGAAAATCCAAGAGGAGGGCCCTTTGGCCTTCTTTGCGTTTAAACAAGTCACATGTGTGCCTCATTTCTAAGCATGAAACCAAAACCTCCACCACCTAAAACCGGACCCATGTGAAAGACAAAGTTCCGCACAGTTCAAATACTAATTAAGCTAGTTCGTGGACCCCACGACCGACACCCCATTTCACTTCTACTTTTTGGAGAAGAACATTATTTTCATATGCTTCTGAATTCTCTTGAATTTTCCCTCTCTTTTATTTTAACCTCTTCACAGCCATACACATCCCTCTGTGTACCGCACCTAAATGTGTGCCATCCTTTAATCATTTCTGACACTTACCCCTTCCTTTTTAAAGTCTCCCTCTCCCTTTACCAATTACCACAACTAATAGAGTAAGCATCACTGAGTAGAGAGAGAGAGAGAGGCAAAGAGAGTTAATTATTAAGTGGAGCGAAAATGCCGCTCAAGTTAGCGGGAGTAGCCGCTGTTGGCGCCCTGCTTTTATGTGTTGCTATTTCTCTCTTTCAAATTACTGTGGCTGAAGATCCCTACAAGTTCTTCAACTGGAATGTTACTTATGGAGACATTTACCCACTTGGAGTTCGCCAAAGGGTACGTCTGAATCTCACTTGTTTTTTTGTTACGTTGATGTTGATGTTTACATTTGTTTTGTTGCTATAACATGAGTTTCAATTTCGGTCTCTGCATTACCGGATCTGTTTTTATTTATTTATTTATTTATGATTTTATTTTTACAGGGAATACTAATCAATGGACAATTCCCAGGTCCAGACATTCATTCTGTTACAAACGACAACCTCATCATCAATGTCTTCAACAGCTTGGATGAGCCCTTTCTCCTCTCCTGGTACTCTCACTTTCTTCACTTACCCTCTGTTCTAACATTTGCATTTCCGAGCCCCTTCGATCTGGCATATTTGTTGCTTTATTTTATACTGTAACAATCATTGAAATTTAAAATCAAAGCACCATAATATAAGTAGTATCCAAGCATGTGATTAGAATTTTTTTTTTCTTTCTATTTTTTAAATTAAAAAAAATATCTTTAGAATGGTGTATGTTGACCCATTGAGGAATGAGGAGTATGTCTGATGCTCCTGTCGCTTGCACATTTTCTATGACCCTTCTTCACTTTGGATGTGTGGAAACACTGAAATTTCCCACGTGCTGGGTCAAATGTGTGGACAGGGATCCAGATCTGGCTTACTGGTCTTACATATAGACACACTAAGAAAAACGTATTTATTTTCATTTATGATAAATATGAATTATTATTATTTTTCTATTTATTCTTTCTGAAAAGGACAAACACCCATGATTATGGTACAAGGACACGGCCTTAACGGAATTCAGTATTTATGTTAGAAGCGGTGAATGGTGATCAATGCCAAGTTGCCAATATGCGCCATGGACATGGAAAGCCTTTATTATCATCACAAGCCTTAAAAAGTCATAATTTGGACTAAATAACAAAGCAACCAATACCCAATATTGGATTTCTCTGTTAGAAACTAGTTAAAGGGCCAAAATAAAAATAAAAAGAGGAGAGTTTTAGGATTAATGATTAAATTTCTGTTATATAAAGTGGACATCAATAATTAATGTTAGGGAAATACAATCATCATGTTACATGGCACAAGTTACATCATGTTGTAGAGACAAAATTGGTGGATTCAATGTTTAATTTGTTTTTTATTTTTTATTTAAAAAATGGATTTCACCAACTTTGTCTCTATAATATGATGTAACTTATATCATGTAACATGACCAAATACAATCTCTTAATGTTATGGCCCATTTACCTTTTTTTCCTTGGCTGTCGTCCGCTGGAATCCAGGATCATGACTTATCACCTACTCCATCTTGGTTTTGTGATCACGAGCGATAGGTTCATGATGTAAATGACATAGATTTATTTTGGGGCAATGAGATATATAACATTATCTTATGCAGACACATAATTAGGTGAGTTTCATAGTTAAAAGAAAAAAGAAAAAAAAAATGCGGACACGGATTTCAATGTGTGTATAATATGAGATAAGATTTCTCACGTAACCTGAAAAAAATATTTCCCTTTATTTTGATAATGACCTTTAATTTATTATTATTATTATTATAATCATCGACCGTCGGATAGAATGAGAAAAATTATATAAAAGATTTAGGCGACATAATTAAAGTTTATGCGAGTTTAAATAAAGTATGTTGAGGCTTGGGGATTTAATGATATAGGAACGGGATCCAGCAGAGAAGGAACTCGTTCGAAGATGGAGTTTTTGGAACAACATGCCCCATCCCACCGGGGAGGAACTTCACTTACATGCTTCAAGTGAAGGATCAGATTGGAAGCTTTTACTACTTCCCATCACTTGCATTCCACAAAGCCGCTGGCGGTTTTGGAGGCATTAGGATTCTCAGCAGGCCGAGAATTCCAGTTCCTTTCCCTGATCCAGCTGGTGATTACACTGTTCTCATTGGAGATTGGTACAAGTCCAACCACACGGTAACTATTCTTTTAATTTCCTCGTTACACTAGTGCTCCCTTTTACTTTGTTAGTAGGTTTTGTTTATCAATTTCTTTTAATTTATCCAATTATTATTAAATTAACTGAATTATTATTATTAACTTTAAATAAAAAAAACAAACGTCTGATTTTTACGTGTGAGGTTTCGTGTTTGGGAATTAACTCAAATTCAATCAAGTCGGTCCTGGCCCACAGATATTACTATTTTTGGAGACAAAGCCCACAGATATTACTAAGTAAGAAGCAAGGAATGATCCCGGTCTATATACAAAACCAAAATCACCCTGTGCACTTTTTTTTTTTTTTTGAGGTGTCACATCACAGTCCCCTTCTCACCTCCTTTTTTTTTTTTTTTTTTTAGTGAATGGCACGTTTAATATTGAAAAAAGTCACGTCATCGTGATCACAAGGAACGAGTGGCGTGCGTAGTTTCACTAGCTTGGAATTATACAGTTGGAACAGTACATATGTAGTATGATCACATAGAGAGGAATAAAACAACGCTAATAACTTTTCTCCCAACCATAATTTTAATTTTTTTAATAAAAAACAAAACCAGTATGTTATTGTTTGGCAGTAACGTCCTAGGCGTACCATGACAAATTACAAATGGGTTTTATTAATTTTATGCCGCTGAAAAATAAAATTTTCTCCCACTGACTCGTCGTAATTCGCGTTTTTACTTTTCTTTTTTTAACATATATGGCCGCACATTTGTTTTGTTTCGGTACAGAAGAAATTTTTTTGCAGCAAGACTAATAAAACTCGTTACAGATTCGTAATTGCATGTATTGATTTGTGTGCCAAGAGATAACATTCTTCTATCGGTGACCACGTATTCAATTACATCCCCCGCAATTTGGCGTGTGGTGATCTGACTCTTTCAACGGTTTCCACGTTCTATGCATATTATAATAAAGAAATTTATCAAATTTCAATATAATCTGTGCAAATGATTTAATAATACCAAAAAAAATGTTATCAACGTTTAATACAAAACATTACCGTTTTTAGAAGCTGTTTGGAAAATGTGTAATTGATATATTAATACGCTTTGTTTTAATGATGTATCATAGAAAGAAAGTACTTACCATACTCAAACTTTTTATTTATGGGTTTATTTTTTCTAAAGTAATTTTAGATAATTTTATCTAATGTTCATCAAAATGACGTTTTGAGACGGAAATCATGGTGTTTTTGTAATTTTAATTTATTTCAAGGTTATAATAGTCTTTATCATTTTAATTTTTCAACCTCAAAACGATGTCGTTTCGATGAACATTAGACAAAATTGTCTAAAGTAACATCAGAAACTTTTTCCCCTTTATTTATATATGATTAATTCTAACATCTTAATAGTATACATAGTTTTACACTGTTAATGATTCCTATGATGCCATCATACCTTAAATCTGAAATTGTGAGTTTTTTTTTATTACACGTTGTTGTAGCATTCAATAAATATCGCTAAAATATTTATTCAATTATTTACTTTAGTATGTGTTTATATATTTATTCAATACTTAAAATGATACAGTCCTAAATTTCCAGTAATAAATTTTCTCTGTTTATCAAATAAATTTAATTAAAACCATTGAAGAAAATATTCTATGCGATGACTCTCATGTGAAAAAAATATGATATGGTTATGTGAAAAATCATAATATATGAATTAAAAATTATAATTTTATAATTATTTATTTTAATATTTTCTTTTCTCTTTTCTTTATTATATGTTATGATTTTTCACATTACCATATAACATCCATCCATATCCACGATGACTTTGTGATTGATGTTTAAATTGTTTAATTATCCAGTTCGTTATATTATATATGACGAATTTGTTTCCTCAAAGTAAAAGATGTGGGGATTATTTGCAGACTTTGAAAGCCCATCTTGATAGAGGCAAGAAGCTGCCTATCCCTGATGGAGTCCTCATCAATGGTCGCGGTCCTAATGGAGTATCTTTCAACGTAGAACAAGGTATGCATGCACCCCATCTAATCATTGTTTATCTATTAAAGGAAAAGAGAAACTTGCAAACATAAAAACGAAGAATAATTTTGACAGAAATAGTCTTTTCTTCAATCTTACCTAAAATTTCTACAACAGGAAAGACTTACAGGCTAAGAATATCAAATGTGGGATTGCAACATTCCCTTAACTTTCGCATCCAGAATCACAAATTGAAGCTGGTAGAAGTGGAAGGAACACACACCCTTCAAACGACCTACTCTTCTATTGACGTTCATGTGGGACAATCTTATTCGGTGCTGTTAACTGCCGATCAACCTTCTCAAGACTATTACATTGTGGTTTCTACTCGATTCTCCTATAAGGTCCTCACCACCACTGGAGTACTTCGCTATAGCAATTCTGCAGGCCCAGTATCAGGCCCACCCCCTGGTGGACCTACAATCCAAATTGATTGGTCTTTGAACCAGGCCCGCTCAATCAGGTATTTTTTTGCTAGCTGCTTTGTACTCTACGGTCACCTAAGACAAAAATAATAATAATTAATTAAAAAAGAAGAAACACTTATATAAACTCAAGTTTCTTTTTGAGTAAAATCCTACAAAAACTCTTTATTTGATATATTTTTCAGAAAAATGTTTTTATAATGACTGCAGATAAGTTATCTGCTTTCATTCTGAAAATGACGTCGTTTTAAGTTTGAAAAATTAAAAAATTATAATAATAAAAATGATTATAACCCTAAATGACTTTTCATTTTAAAACCACGTTGTTTTAGGCTCAACGTAAATAACTTATTTGCATTTACTGCAGAAAAAATGAACTCTATATTTTTTCTATTGGTAAATACAAAAATTATTTTAACAATATCAGCTAAAAATTAGTTTAACAATAATCTACTTAATATTAAATAGTATTTTTTATTATTGTTCTAAGAATGATACAAAATTGTTAAATTAAAAATATTTTTGACAAAAACATTCTTTATTTAACTTCTCTTGTAGTTTTTAAAAAAAACTATAAATGAAAAATATAGTTTACAAAATAATAAATTTTAAATTTAAAAACATAATGTTTAAGTTGCTTGTATAATTATTGAGTAAATATCTTTTTTGGTTCTCATCAAATTTCATGATGTTCGTTTTAGTCCCTAGCAAATAAAAAGACTATTTGTGGTGTTTACCAAAAAAAAGAAGAAGACTATTTGTGATTCCTAAGAAATTCAAAATGAACCCATTTAGTTCAAATTGTGGTGCCTCACAAATTAAAAAAAAACCCACATTGGTCCCTCAAAAGAACTAAAATGGATCTATTTTAAATTTTTTAGAGACCACGAATAGTCTTTTTATTTGCTAGGGACTAAAGCAGATATCGTACAATTTGAAAGATGTATTTACTCATAATTATTTTATAGAGTGTATGAAATAATAACCAAGTTATGACAAATAATTTCAGGACTAACCTTACAGCAAGTGGACCGAGGCCGAACCCGCAAGGGTCCTACCATTACGGTCTGATAAACACGACCAAGACCATCATTCTGGCTAGTTCAGGTGGTCAAGTAAATGGCAAGCAAAGATACGCAATTAACAGCGTGTCTTATGTTGCCCCAGACACACCTCTTAAGCTCGCCGACTACTTCAAAATCTCGGGTGTTTTCCGCGCAGGAAGCATATCTGACAGACCCACTGGCGGTGGCATTTACCTTGACACCTCTGTATTGCAAGCTGACTACAGATCTTTCGTCGAGATTGTCTTCCAAAACAACGAGAACATTGTTCAGAGTTATCATCTTGATGGCTACTCTTTCTTCGTGGTTGGGTGAGTGAGCACATATATCTTAAATTAAATCACATGTTTGATTGATTGATCAATCATCATATATAATTTCTGAAGAAAATACTTCTTGTTAATGTGAAACGACTTATAAATAAAAGAGGGAGGATATTTTGACTACCAAAAGTTTTCACTACTACCTTACTACTTATCTAATTACCATTGGATTAATATTTTCTCTCTCTTCAAATTTTTTTTAACATTCTTTCTCTTTGATCCAATGGTGATTTGATAGGTAGTAAGTTGGTAGTAGACACTTTTGAAAGTCAAAATATCCCCCTCTAAAAAAAGGACCAAATAACATTCCTCCGAGTTTGTGTTTGGCTTTCTGAAATTGGTCAATATATTATTTGTTGGCCTAAAATATTTCAATTGTATATGTAGTATGGATGGAGGGCAGTGGACAACTTCAAGCAGGAACCGGTACAATCTCCGAGATGCGGTTGCACGTTGCACCACTCAGGTGAGAGTTAGCTATTGTCGTTGTCCGTGTTGTTTCGTGGCCTAAACATGTAGTAGTCACTAGTCAGTTATGTCCTTTATTGCTCCCGGCAATATTGTTAAAATCTAAATCTTAAGTAAAATCGGAAGAAGATTAAAAAATCATAAAACATAAAATTATAATATAAAAAAATAGTAAAAACGTAAAAGCTTTTAGAATATTAGTAAAATCGTTTTGATGAAAAAAAATCATAAAAACGTAAAATCGTAGTGATAAATCGAGATTTTAACAATAATGCTCGCGGGTTTAGATTAGAACAAAAGCAATATTTGATTCTTGATTTTATTCAGGTATATCCCTACTCATGGACTGCTATATATGTTGCCCTTGACAATGTGGGAATGTGGAACTTGAGGACTGAGTTTTGGGCACATCAATACCTTGGCCAACAGTTTTATTTGCGCGTTTATACTGCATCAACCTCAATCAGAGACGAGTTTCCTATTCCAAAGAATGCATTTCTGTGTGGTAAGGCAAGTGGGAGACACACGCGACCACTTTGAGCTAGCAAGGGTTTAAAGGGATCCATACTAGAGAAGGCATTCTAGCTTTAGAATATGAAAAAGTAGTTAACTTATCTGCTTATCTGCTTCTGATTTTATTTTTGAGTGCTTTCATTTATATATGCTATGCTCCGGTGGAATGATGAACACGTATGATTTTATCTCTATATGACCCCAGCTCGAGGTCACATTCTTTCCCAGAGAAAAAAAGAAAAAAAGAAAAAAATGAAACAGCATATTATTATATCCCCTTTGTATTATCTCGAATTTCACTAGTATTATTATAAAGTAAGATTATGAGGGTTGCGAACGTTGGCTTTTGGCACTTGCCTGAGAAGGGTCTCTGATTCATTTGTTGTAGAAATGCAGAACTTTAATGTCAATATTGTTATGTCCGTTTTCCTTTTCCTTTTCCTTCTGCAATGTTTGACAGCAGAGAGGACGCAGGATGCTGCTGAGATATTTATGATTTGGAAGTTAAGCATTATCTTTACAAGAGAGTGAACCAAATCTCCATTATTAACCACAAGCAGCATTGTCGCAGGAAAGATTATTCGGTTATTTATAGGAAAAATAGTTTTTATACGTTTAGATATGTATCTTCTGATTTATTCTAAGCGAAAAAACATAAAAGCCTGCTTATTTTCAACTTTAAAAAGGTTAGTTTAAAGGGCATCCTAGTTTAAAATACTATTAACCTTTCCACTTTATTTCTTTCACATAAAAAATAGTTGCTAAAACAAAATCTTAAACATTGTAAGTAAAAGAAAGCTCACTTAATTATGAAGAATGTTAGAATGTTTATTTGTATAAACTTTAAGAATTTTTTTTTTTATGCGATCTATTTTTTGAAACTATTTTAAACTATTTCATGTTTGAATGTAATATTTGAAATGATTTTTTTAATCTCTGAACAGATTTTTTGAATTGTAAAAATTAAATACATTCTTTTTACAAGCTAAAAAATCTATCTTTAAAAGTCTAGCTTGAGGTAACACTTCCCATGTGCGTTATAGGAATGTTCAAAATCTAGCTTGACTTTAAATTGGTTATACCTAATTTAATACAAATATTCATTATTAGAAAAAAAATTCTTTTAAAATGAGCTTGCTTAAATATACTTTAAATTAAATTGTCAATATTCCCTTAGTCACTTATAAAAAAAACTTCACTTTTGAGTTGCTTTATATATTAAATTAAAATATATTTTTCCAGAATGACTTAAATTAATATTTTTACATAACATGGTAATTATATATTTGTATATTGGTAATTATATATTTGTATATTGGAAATGGTACGGGGAAACCCAAAATCCTTTGCAAAAGATTGTCCATCAATGGGCCAAGCAATAAACCATAATAAGTGGACTATCTCAACCCAAAATCTTAAGACTATAGGTTTATAGGTCTTTTGCATTTATATGGTCATCACTTGATCTTTGTCTATCCGATGTGGTACTTCTTTATAACTCATACTTGAATACTTCCAACATCTCCCCCTCAAGTGTGAGATCCAACATCATGCTCCCCTTTAAGGACAATTTCTGCAAAAGTCTTTTTTTAACTATTGGAGTCACACTAGTCTTTTGGAGAGGCCTTAAAACATTGTATTGAATTAATTTATTTCGGAATCTAGGCAATAGGAGGATAGACCAATTAATCAATGAGCCTCCACCAACCAAATGTGCACCATACCAGGGCATTCTTTGATATCAGGAAAATAATTACAAAAACCTTGTAAATGATCTAACTAAAGAAATAATGCAATGAAAAACACAAAGTAAAAAGAGAAACCCTATCAATCTCCCTCCCCTCCATATAGAAGAATACATTGGAGATAAATGTGGATACTTCTGCTGATTGGAATTAGACAAATGCGGAGTATTGTATCAGATGAAGATTTTGGGAGCAATAATTTTCAAAGTCATAGGCGATAAGGAACGAGGGGAGAAAGGAAGAGAACCCTGGCAATCAACAACTCATTGTTCGTGAACTTCCACACAAACTTACAAAGAAGATAAGAGTGAAAAATCTAAAGTTCAAGTATACATATGTGCGTGTCCGGGGGGAAGAGGGGGGAATTTCTTCATACATTATCCAAGGCAGAGAAATAGTCAGAATGCACCCTACTTTTCCTTTTTTTTTGGGGGGGGGGGGGGGAGGGAAGCAATCCACTTAAAGATTGAAACAAGGCCAAATTCAACAAAGGAACATAAAGATATGGAAACAAACTACAGCACTAGCTCAAATAGCAAAAAGAGGTCGCCAATTAATTAGCTAGTGATGATTGACAAAAGTCAAATTAGTTGCACATTCTATAACAAAGAAACGAATCTCAGGATTGTCTAGGATTGAGTAATGAGAAAAAGAAGTTAAAATTCAGTACAGTATATAGAACTCACTTTGCAAATACGCAAGCACAAAATTGCATACAATCGACTCTCATCTTTTCCGTCGCAAAGTCAGGAAGCCTTGTGCATTAGGCTTTCTTATATAGAACTCATTTCATCGATTCCAATAAAAAAAAAAGAGTTAGCACCGACAGTCAGTCCACTTCCATACAAGAGGAACAGTCAATGTCTTGAAGAGTGATTCTACCCAAGTACAAATCATTTACATGATCAGTACAGAGTGGGAGGCACTTACGGTTCAGGCTTTCATGAATTCCAACCATCCCTTGCACCCATTTTCCTTTCTCCAGTGGGTTCACATTCAAACAATTTTGCAGCAGACGGATCCGATAAAAGACACTGGTTGTCTTGTCACAGAAATGGGCAATACAGTGTGATGGAGGCTCATCAGATGCCAACCTTACTATAGCCAAAGATAAAACCCCATCTACAGGCTTTGGATCTGAGAGATTTCTATCTCCCATCATCTTGACCTCTCTTTCTGTGGGAAAATGCACTTCATCATTTCCATCCATATCATAGACTTTCAAATCTTTGCTGAAATGCTTTATGGCTTCACGCTTAGTGGATTCATGCTTCTCTGCTAATGTCAAGATACAAGAGAACCTCAAATGATAAGTTACAATAGTTTTTACCATCTTGAAATTGTGGCAACAGCAGAAGAAATCAAGCCACCTTCTTGCTATGCCAGCATACCACTTGATAATATCGGTATCCTCAAGAGCAACAAGGAATTCGATTGGCCTTGGACGACCCATGTGATTTGTAAAACCAACCAACTTCACAGCCTTTCTTATGAGTATTATTGGTGCATCAACTTTCATACAGAGCCTTGTCAAATCCTCAACTGTTCCTTTCGCATATTTTTGTTCTTCCTCTTCCTTTGCTCTTCTTTCTTCTTCCTCAATTGCTTTCCTAGCCTTTATAGGATTCAAATGTTTATCTACCTGCTCTTGGAACTTATCATAAGCATCAACAAGCTCAGGTGGTAATTGATTTCTAATGTGTCTCAAGGAAAGAAAATCACCAGCAGATAGACTTCGATGCCATTCTTGGCACTCATCTATGTTGCTCAAGAATTCTTGCACTACTTCATTTGCCCAAGAGTTGAAAATTTCCCTCGCTTCGTCTTCAATACTAAAGTCAAATTTAAACCCATCACTTTGCTTGGTCTTCTTATATACATGATCAAATATCTTCAACCCCAATTTCCTCCTGTTCCTTTCTCTAGCATTTTTCAATTCTAGAGATCTAACTTCCTTCTGTCTAAGGTACTTCTTCCGTGCCCTGATTGCTTTCTCTGACATAAGCGGGCGCAGAACCGTAGGCTGAACAGCCTGTAATTCCATCCCAAGAAACTCAATCTTCTCTGATACCGCACTGTGAATAGCTGTGTTCACTTTATCAACATGTAACCCCAAACCAAGTTCCAAACTTCTCACAACTCCGGTCATTAACTCCATCGTCAACATCTTCGTCCCTGAAGTTGCAATAAGTATCTCATCCAAGTACCTCACTGCATATACTTTCACTGGCTTGTAAAACATGTCAGATCCCGAACCTGAACCAATCAGCTTGGGACTCAATTCACGATTTTCTTGATTTTCCCGAAGCCGTTTCTCTTGAATCTCTTTATCAAACCCATCAAAGTATATGTTCAAGAAAATTGAACACAACCCACATTCCTGAGGAAGCCCCCTTCCCAAACAATTCCCACCCAATTCAATTACCAAAGCCTTATATTCAAACAACCTCTTAATCAAATCAATCAAAACACCATCTTTTACTTTATGTTCAATGAAAAAACACAACTTTTCGACATGGGCATGTTCAAACTTTTGAGACTTGAACCTCACAGTAAACCACCAACTAGGATTTTCAACAGAGTTTTTCAGGTACCTTATAGCAGTGTGCCTTCCCATTCCAACACGCCCACCATAGCAAAACGTCACGAACCGTTCATCGTACACCACTTCTAACACCATCCTAATAGCCTCAACCAAAACCTTCAGCTTCAAATTGGGCAAAACCAAAGGCGACCCATTTTTGCTCGAGGGCTTTACTGTCACGCAGCAAGCTCCCACGTTGAACCTGTTCTCGCGGAGCTCTCGACCCATGGCTTCGATGCTGAACCGCTCAGAGACCAGGGAGTGTGAACCGGGGCGAAAGGGAGCGTTTTGGGTTCGTGGGGCAGCAACGTTTTCGCAGGCGGTGAAGAGGACGATGGGTGAGGCGACGACGTTTCTGACCAGGTTGGTGAACTTGCCATGGGTGTAGTGGTTGAGAACGAGGGTCTTGAGCTGGGTTTTGGTGAGGGGTTCTATGGGTTGTGATTCGTCTGGGGGTGGAAGTTGCAGTGCTACTGTTGAGTGAAGTTTCAGAGAATAAGAGTGAGATATTTTGAATCTCTGTGAATTCGAGGTGATGATCCGTCTGATGCGCAATAATACCAGCATGGAAGGCAAGGAAAGCGAAATTTTCTTTTGACTATTGAGACTTGAGAGTGAGTTCGTTTGGGGAACTAAACAAATAACTGTGTTCAATAGTTCATAGAGCCACAGCACCAATCTATATAATTTATATTTTTGATTCGTATACTTATAAATATTTAATTCACATAAATAAATAAAAAATATTTAAATTATTTTATTGTTCTAAAAAATTAAAAGAATGAGAAAAAAAAATAAGAGAAATAATTTTTAATCAAGTAAAGAGTAATTTAAGTCACTAACAACAGTAGTTTTTTTATGGGTTTGCTTTTTTTTTTACCGTTAGTCAATGTAGATAATTTATCTACATTGAGATCAAGATATTTTTGTAATTATAATTTATTTAAGGGTTATAATAATCTTTTTATTATAATTTTTTAATTTTTCAACACAAAACGCCGTCGTTTTGAGAGCAAATGTAGATAAGTTATCTACGTTCACTTTAGAAACATTAAAGCTTTTTTTATGGATTATAAGCATAGGCTTTAATGTTTCTAAAGTGAATGTAGATAAATTATCTACATTCGCTCCCAAAATGACATCGTTTTGGATTGAAAAATTAAAAAATTATAATGAATAAGATTATTATAACCCTGAAATAAATTATAATTACAAAAATACCTTAATTTTCGTCTCAAAATGACGTCGTTTTGAACTAAATAAGTTATCTACATTGACTGCAGAAAAAACGAACCCAAAAACATAAAGCAAAATATGTAAGAAAATATAACCAAATCCAGAGAGTTAAAAGGGACAATCTACCAAATGGTGGTAGCTCAGTTGGTACATAGAAGCTAAGCAGGTGGGATTAGATCATGTGTTTAAATCATTGTTGTAAAAATCTCGATTTATTATTACAATTTTACGTTTTTACGATTTTTTTTCATCAAAACGATTTTACTAATATTCCAAACGCTTTAACGCTTTAATAATTTTTTACGATTATTTTACATTATGATTTTACATTTTACGATTTTTTAATCCCCTTCCGATTTTATTTAAGATCTCGATTTTAATAATATTGGTTCAAATCTCTCCAGTGCCATCTTTGGGAAGGATTTATAGCAATACTGAATCTGTCCCAAATCAAATTAGTTGCAAAGCAATGAATCGATTAGAATATTAAAAAAAAAAAGGACAATCTCCTTGATTAAGTAGTATACATACTGCATCGCTTATTTGAGCATGAGCAAAAGAGGATATTTGAAAACTTCTAAAAATTAGATATGTATTCGGTAGAGCAAGATTTGAAATATAAATTATAGAGTGTTTGATAAATAATCTAAGCTTTTTTAAAACTGGTTCCTGTGCAATTTTTTTGAAATAAATCAAGTTCATAAAAAGCTATTTAAAAGTTAGTTTTTTTTCTAGTGCAACTTTTTTGTTATAGTCTATATCTTTCTTTTAATTTTCTTGTTTTTCGGAAAAAATCATGTCACTCATCTTAATAGTCAATAAGCATATTAAATAAGTCATTAAACTTAATCTAGTGGAAAGAATTTGGGTAGGTTATATTAGATTATGGGTTTAATTTCATCTTGTATTAAAAAGAAAAAAAGCATATTAAATTTTTCTAGTTTAAATAAAAATAATTGTTTACCAAAAAAAAAAACTAATTTAATTTACATTTTTTTTTTTACCAAATTAAGTTTAAGTCAAAATTAATAAGACACATGCTTCTCAACCTTTCAGAGAATGCTTCTTCGTTGCACTTGCACATGACACGAAGCTTTCCCATCATGTTCGTCTTTCTCTCTTCCTCCCAATTGTTAGGGTTTTAACTGTACCTGGGTTCTGTAGAGGAGAAATTCAAAAAATAAAATAAAAAATTCTTGAGCTAAACGGACGAACTTTAAGTTCATGGACCGCTTGCGTCCTCGTAACAGACCCTTGTTTTCTGGATTTACAAATTCCGAGGTATTATTATTACTGTTATCCATGGGTTTAGGTTTTGATTATTGAACCCTTTCTTTGCCGTACTCTAGGATCATCGTTATCGGCGTCTTAAGACAAGAAAAATCCTTTTATGTATTTGGAAATGCACTTGGCATCCTTGGTTGATTCCTTTGTGTTTGGACTTAGAGGCTTTTGGCTGTAATTATAAGTTTGTGAGTTCAATAACGTTATTTAGGAACTGTAATGTGTAATCGCAAGCTCCCTGGTTCAATGTTTTGTATCTTAGTGTATTTGATGCGCTACTTATATTACTTAGATACTTCCAACTTCAATTGCTCTTTGTTGGTCGTGGTTTTTTTGGGTACCAAGTTGTTTATATAAAGGTAGTGTCTGATTTTTTGTGAAGGTTATAGAATATAATGGGTGTTTGTTTTAGCATGTCCTGTTCCCAACTCATAGTGATTTGAACTAGTTGTACCGTGACAAACAGATTGGGAAGATGGAAAAATTGCTAACGGAATCTAAAGAACGATCATTTGGTCAGGAATTTTACCAAAACCTCGCTAAAAATTTCAAGTGAGTTTTTCTTTTCAATGATTGTTGGTTTCTTTTTCTAGTAACAAATGAAGACGCGTATTTTGTCATTGAGTAGTTGTGTTTGGAATGTTATGTTTCTGCAGCCGTTCCTCTGGTCGTGCTGGGAAACCTGTCATAAAATGGACAGAGGTTAATGATACGTCAAGATTACCTTTATCCCAATCTATTTTCTTAACTCATTTATTTTATTTATTTAATTTCCTGTTCACCATCCTTCACATACTGTTAATTTCTTCTTCTGATATGGGAGAGCTTATTTGTCTTGGTGGCTTGTAGTTCTATATTTTTATTTTTTATTTTGTTATTTTTCAAAGTTTTTTAATTATTCCTTTATTTTGGGGGAAATTTTAGATACACAGTTGGTTTCAGACTAGGCTCCAAGACTTACCACGAGACCTTGAATGTAAGGAAGGTGAGACTTCTTGCATGCCTTAAGGTTCTTGACATAGTTGGTACTTGCTGTCTTCAAGCATTAAAATCGTCAACATGAGATTCTTTTGTTATACTTCAGCGTCTAATATTGTTGCTTAAGTGTGTGGTAGGTGGCCTAGTTTATGTTTGATGTGTCTGGGGTCTATGTTACTTTTTTTTATTCAATATAGTTGCTTTAAAATGTCACATATAAAATGTTATAATGTGGCTTTTATGTTACGCTTCTTTATGGGATTTGGAGCATGTTTGGTAGAAGAAAATAATGATACTGCAGGTGAGGAAGTGACTTGGCAGCAATGAAGGGAATATGAAAGCAATATAACATAGCCCTCCAGGGGCTCTTTCTCACTTTCTATTTCTACTTTCCTTTTCTTTTTTGTTTGGTTAGCAGCTACACTTGTGTTTATAGATATTTTTGAGTCAAATAATCAACCATATCAAGTAAACTTATCTTGTGAGATTGTGCTGAAATGATTGCTTTGCAGGAGGAATTACCCGAGACTCATCAAACTTGGAATTTGAAGCGAGGTCATCAAAAGATGGAGCATGGTGAGTACATATGCAGTTTTGCATTCAGCTCAAATTATTTTAATAATTCATGAATGCTGGATATGAAGTATTTAAATTTTAATGTCACTGAAAGGTTTCGATAAATACCTTCCCGAAGCATTAAGAAAAGAATTCTCTTGTACCTTTTCCTAATATTATAAACCCAGATGCAGATATTAATCCAAACTAAAGATTTTTCTATCCTTAATGCCATGTTTACCTTGGAAGTCCTTACACTGTTGATAGCTTCATCATAGATCACATTATACCCTTGAGCATGCATTCAATTTTGGTAGAAAGGTTGCTTGAGGCCTGCAATTATGGATTAGACCTCAGGACATGGCTCATGTAAAATCATAGACTCCCATCCCATTGGTAACGGAACAGAAAAAGTAAATCAAATATGGATGCATCAATGTCACTTCCAGTTATCTTTTATTATGATTATCGTGCAGACACATTTTTTGTGGCATGAATTGTATTCTTAAGCAGCTAAACTTGTTTGCATCTATAGTAGGGTAAAATTGTGCTATGGGAGGGGTTTAAAGCCTTAATCCTGGACCCACCCCGAATCGGATTAATTGCGAAGCAATGAACCGATTGGAATATTTCAAAAATAAAATAAAATTGTGCTTTGGGCATTTGCTCAATTCTATGGTATTCTGAAAATGAGACTTGCATAACAGTTCCTGTAATAGAAATTCCAAAAAACTCTAGGCTCTTGTATGTTAGAATCATCTTACTTTTACTCTTTCTTTTCTCATTGTTGAGCAGGATATTTTCTCCTCTGATTTGATTGATTTTCCTCTCATTAATAAAGAGGCAAATTTTTCTGCTTCCTTGTGGGTTTATGCAGATGGATTGTTTAAATGGGTTTTCTTTGATGTACGTTCAGAGGAACTGGAGAGCACTTTTAGCCTATATTTTCATTTTTTTTCTTTTTCCATTTTTGGGTTTTATTAGCAAGATTTCTGATCCTCCTGTTATGTTTTCTTCTTAGATAAACTCTCATAATACTTTCATCTCTCTCTCTCTCTCTCTCTATATATATATATATATATATATATATCAAAGTTTACAAATTCTTACAATTACACTATGTACTATGGTAGTACATATTACTTAAGCATGTAGTATTATGTACTACTCATAGTACATAGTTGTACTACCTATAGTATATATTGTAGTTTGTAAGAGTCTGTAAATTTTGAGTTTGTAAATATGACCTATCCCATATATATATATATATATAATAGAGAGAAATGAATGGTGCTGTTGGTTCTAGTCTTTAATCACTTTAATTTTATTATCATAACAAGACTATGCTAATTGCTTTTTCATTGATTTTTGGAAAAGGATATTTAAAGAATTTTAGGCCTTCTATACGCTAATGGTTGGGCTATTAACATTTGGGGGTGACTCAATTCATTAATCATGCGATGTCACACAACTTTGATGTTTGATTGCTGCCAGTACATAATTTCTTTCCTCTATTCTTCCCTCTCCACTAAAATATTATCGGTAGTTTATTTTTGTTTTTGGTATTGAGCTTCACTTTTTCTGCTGGCTTTAAAGGTGACTGAATGATATTCAGAAGAATAACTGATTATCAAAAAATTTACTGTTCTGCTGTCATTAAATTGTGCTATTTGTAATTTGGTCTAGTTGCAGACATACAAGCACAGTATTTTTGGCAATTACCGTTTCAATCAGTTATATAATCTTCACAAATTTCATTTGTCTCAAGTCAAAGATATTGCTGCAGGTATGATGTTGAGACATTTCTAGCTCACAGATTTCTTAGCACAGGAGAAGCTGTAAGTTTTGATAATCATGATGTTCATAGCTTACTACTGCAAGGCTTGATATTGAATTGATAAATTGATTTGCCCCTACAATGGGGTTTCAATATTTTTCCATCTGATACTTTTCTGCCTTTTGTTAAAGGAAGCTCATGTCAGATTTGTTGGATTTGGAGCTGAGGAAGATGAATGGGTCAATATAAAAAATTCAGTCCGAGAACGCTCTGTTCCTTTGGAAAACACAGAGTGTTCCAACCTGAAAGTTGGAGACCCCGTCCTGTGTTTCCAGGTGATTTTGGCTGAAGTTTGCGCAAGAAAGTGTTGTTACAGGACATCATTATATATTTAACTTTGACAATTTCAATTGGATTTTAGGAGAGGAGAGATCAAGCAATTTACTATGATGCTCACATTATAGAGATCCAAAGGAGAATGCATGATATCAGAGGCTGCAGGTGTCTCATATTAATTCGGTATGATCATGATAACAGTGAGGTGCGTGTTATTTCTGCATTTGGGGCTGTGTTAACCATTTCATGTGGTAATTTATAACTTTTCAGTGTTATATTTTCCATTTACAGGAAAGTGTTCGCTTGAGGAGACTATGCCGGAGACCAAGATCTTAGTTGTATTAGGCATCAATTCATTTCGACATGCAAATTTAATAACGGAAACATGTGTTCCTCTTTTGATTTTTTGTTGGTAGTGAAGAAGCTGTAGAAGTTGAAAGGTGAAACTTTTTTACAAAAAAAAAAAAAAAGGTTGAAACTTATGGAAAATATTATAGTCGTAACTTGTGCTCCAAGGAGGAGAGAAGATAGAATGTAAAGTTTGAAAACATGGTTAGCAACCCCAGTTAAGACGCCTGGGATGTAGTATTGTTTAATTGGCATATTTTTATGCTCGTTGAGTATATGGTTTTTGGGAGATTTGCTGAACCGGTATGCAGTTTGACATGATTTGGAAATTTTGACAGATAACACACCCTTAGTTGCTTATATATTTAAAAAAAAAAACACTTGAGAAGTGCTTTATTATTTACTTTATAAAATTAAAATATATTTTCTTATGAATGACTTAAATCTAACTCCAAAAAACAATTCATTATGTTATGTTAAAAGACGTTAAAACTTTGAGCATCTTGAATATATTGTAAAAGATAGATTCCTAAATCTTAAAAATTAAAATTATATGAAATACCAATCTAATTTTTTTTAAAATCAAACCTCCATTGAAGACTTGTTCTACATTAAGAAAAATTCGTGACAATTGTATGTTCTGTTTACTCCACATTTCAGAATCTAAACAAATGTACAGAACTAATTACTTGGTAAGTGGTAATCCCTTTTTCCTCATAGGCCTATCATCCCTTCCGGAGTTCTTGACAAATATAATACCTCTATTTCTTGATTTCTAGCCTAAAACTCCCTCTTCAGGACAAAGTTTACATTTATACACATTTTAATTAGAAAATTAAACTAAGTACTAGAAAAGTAAAAACAAAATTGAAATAGTAGGGCAAGTAAGAGAAAGCGTAGGAAAGAGAAACAAAGTGCCAGAAAATGAAGATGAGAGAATCTGCCAGTATATTAATTATCAAAATTACCAAAGATAAGAATAATATTTGTAATAAATGATGTGTTATGACAAAAAAAATAAAATAAAAAATGATGTGCGATTAGCACTATAAATATTTTTCAGAATTACACTGAATAAAATCTGATTGCTCTGTCTATAGAACTTGAAGCTGACTCAGCAGTGAGTCAGAAAAATAATTAGCTACATGCAGGTCGGGGTGTAAATGGGCCAGGCTGGTCTGGCCTGGCTTACAGCTCGGTCTACGTTGAGCCTGACCTACATTGAAAAGTACAGTAGACTTAGGCTTATAAGAAAGCTTTTTTAACAAGTAGGTCATAGGTCAATTTTGTCAAGCTTGGCCTAAAACGAGCTTATTTAATTTTTTAAAATAATATAATATATTTATTTTAGGTGACAATCAGTACCAATTTTAAATTATTTTGTGCAACGACGCTTCTCTCTTCTCTGAGCTTCGTCTTTGTAGAACTTTGCTCAATATATTTTTATAGTTATTTTTTTTACTATTGTAAAATTTTTAATTCTTACTAGTGAAACTTATATCTCGTGTAAAAAAATGCAGCAATTTATGAACATGTTAATGACTTGTAATGTCAAGCGAATATTTTTAAAATTATTAAAAATATTTTTAAATTTTTTTAAAAATATATCACTAAGGAGGCCTACAAGGTCTGTAGGCCATATAAAGCTATCTAATTTTTATAAATAGGCCAAGCTTGGCCTACAAATAAAATCTTTAGTAGGTCAATAGGTCATATAGGCTGAATATTTTTTTACGTAGGTTTAGGTCATGAAGACCAAAGCTCGGTCCAACCTGACCCATTTACACCCCTACATGCAGATATATTACATGAAACTGCATACAGAATACAGTATAGAGTATGCGAAGCATTTATATATGCTAATAGCAAGAGAATAATAATTGATATAATTGTTACAACTAAAAGGTAAAAATATTTTGCACAAAATTAATGTGACTTTATTACTAGCAATGAATATATTCTTATGCTGAAGAGTTGACTATCGCTTGTTTGAAAATAGCTTTAATCGAACTAAGCCAATAAACCTCAAGTGACAATATCTATTTATTTTTATATTTGGAGTATGCCTAGCCTAAATACTTTGTCCTTTACAACTTTCTTGTAAAACTTTATTATTTTTTAGTAGAAGTTTTTCTTGTTAAACTTTGTGTCTCAAGACTTTGGAGGAGCCTTATCTCGTTGTCCAAGGGCACAACGCGAACAGTGGAAGGGACAATAAACAGAATAAGAATTGTCTCTCATGTAATGTAACTTTGCATTTAATATTGTCTTCATCGTACCCAAATATTATATATAATTAGGGATTTGCATTTGTCATTTAACATGACACAACAAACTTTCTTATACACCTAACATTTTGTGGAACCCACGGCACGCAAAACGAATCTCTATAACATTACACAATCATTTTTCCTACAATATAACTTATAAAACCCATATAATTATGGAGTGTGTTTTTCTCGTGTTACATAAAAAAATAATTTTTTTTACACATATTATAAAAAAATGTGCCATTCTTTTTTTGTTTTTTATTTTATTAAAGGAAAAAGTGTTTGTCATTTTAAATGACATAAAATCATGTCATTTTAAATGACATAAAATCATGTCATTTTAAGAAAGAGACAGATACAAAATAATTTTTTTATTTAAATTTTAAATTAAAAAAACATCCATTTTTTTCAATAATTTTCATTTCTTGTATCTATTTTTTTTCTATAATGATATAACTTATGTCATTTAAGATAAAAAACATTAAACCCTTTATTAAAATAGGTGGATCCCACGTTTACACGAGATTAAGATTTTACTACACTAAAACATTTATTTTTTCCCTATAACTATTGACTCTGAGCTTTACCTTTGTGTCTTAATTTGCGTTATCTTTGGCAAACTCGACCATTCCAGGCTTCATGGCGGCAACACCAGAGTTCGATCCTGCGCTTGCGCTTCTTCACAAGTTCCCCGATGTCTGTCTCTGTCTCTCTCTCTCTCTCTTTTTCTTTGTTTTTGTGCCTTTGTTAATATTCCATATGCAGAATCCTTTTTCATTTGCTTTTTAGTGGGTTTTCCTTTTCTTCCCAATCGAATTCTAAAATTTTGTTATCGTTTTGAATCGCGGAATGGACTGCAGACCACATACTCTTATACCGAAAGGTAACGCCTTCTGTAAAAATTGTAATTGAAATGCGCAAAGTTTTACGACTTTGATTTAATGCAATAAGAAAATGATGTATAAGTAAACATGCTTTTAAATACATGTTGAACAGAGATGCTGCACTTTATGCCTTAAGCATAGGGGCATGTGCATCGGATGCTGCGGATGCCGATGAGCTTAAATATGTTTACCATGAAAATGGTCAGAAGTTTATCAAGGTACTGTTTATTTCTAAATTATTCTTGCTACATGTTTAATTTAACATTTCTCTTCACCTACAATATATGCAAAGATAATTGCTACGAAATTCATTTTTGTATGTTTACCATAAAATTGATCATAAGTTTATTAAGATATTGTTATTTGAAAAATATTCTTGGTAAATGTTCTGTGTAACACAATTTGTTTCAACCATAAATTATGCCTAGATATTGTTAATAATTCATTTCTGTTTAGAATAATTGCAAAACAGTTCTGACTCATCCTTCATTTTCTGCTTTGTAGGTGTTGCCTACGTTTGCTTCTCTACTTCCACTTTTATCTATGCCAAATGGTTTTAATCTCCCGGGCTTGCAGTTAGTGCTCCTCACTACTTTCTATATATCTGTGCTTATACTTCACGTATTGTTCATCTTAAGTGCACTCGAAGCCATCTAGTTTTCTATATGATCTCTATAGCATTTATTTTATTGGTGAATGGAAAATTCCTTCAGTTTTTTCCTCCATCTTCTGTTGTAATGATCTTGCTTTTTTTAACCCTCTGATACTTAACCAAAAGTATAACTTTATGTATGCCAGATATGATCCACGCCTTCTGCTGCATGGGCAGCAATACATAGAGTTGTACAAACCTTTTCCTTCCAGCTGTCATGTAAGGTTTCTAATGAAAATTTGGCGTGCTGGACAATTAGGTCGAATTGTTAAACTAATGATTTCTTGTTCCAATTTTAGTTCAATATACCAACCTGTCAGATGAAATTTGCAGGAAAATCAAAGGGTAGATATGAATGAATATTTTTACTCAAAGTAATTCGTAGAGTAGAGGGTGCCGTCTTCCAGAAATGAGACATCCTTTATGAAATTCAAGCATCTGACATCATCTTTTTCATGCCTATGTGGAACAGCCATGTTTTCTTCATGACATTTTCATTCCAATGAGACTTACAGTGAGAACATTTGTAAAAGACCACATGTACTTGAGAAAAAATGGGCTGTTTGATTCTGGTTTTAATTGAATTGAGGATAGAATGATATGATGCGATTTAGTGACAAAGATTGGGTTTTATATTGAATCTAATATGTATCTAACTTGCTTCTGGTTCATTTGAACATGAACCCCCTGATATCTCCCAATCCCCCACATGACCAATACAAATATGATAGTCTGAAATAGTTTGTTTTAATTTTTATCTGCATGCTAAGGTTAATTTCTAATTATTATTATTTTCTCACTTCCTCTTCATAGATAGGCTCATGATATATTATTGTTGTTACAGATTCACAATAAAGTCAGTCTTGCAGGATTACATGATAAAGGTTGAATTGCCAACACAGTTTCTACTTAATGTTCTGTTATGCATGTGTTTGCTGTACAGTTTCACTTTCACATTATCTTTGGAAAATATATATCTAATGTATGCATATTTTAATTTTGTGTTCCTTTACTCCTATATTCTGCTTCTTAAAGATGGGGATGTGTTTACTTTAATTTCAGGTAAAGCAGCAATTTTAGAGTTTGAAACAAAGAGTTATGACAAAGAATCTGGTGATCTATTATGCATGAACAGGTGAAACGAAAACATTTCTTTTAATGCCTTTGTTACCATCACACTCAACTAGCAAGTTGCTTGCAGGACGACCGTGTATCTACGTGGTGCTGGTGGCTTCTCAAAGTCATCTCATCCATTTTCTTACTCAAACTATCCTTTGAACCGGATTTCAGCTGTGAAAATTCCTGAAAGTAAACCTTTTTCAGTGTTTGAGGATCATACCCAACCATCTCAGGCATGTTATAACTATTCAATACTGTTTGAAATAAATTGGCTTGCTCATTCACATCACAACTTTTTTTTTTGCTTTTCCCCCTTTTCCTGCATGTTCTCTGTTATTCTCTTTGTAAAATATTTGGAAAGCAATTTAGGATCTCTATCTTAATTTCTGAGCCAGCATATAATAACATCTTAAACATAGATTACATGATATCAGATATGTGATCCCCCGTCCCCGAACTTTTACATGTTATATTTATTCAGCCTCATTTATCTTAGCCATGTATCTTAACTTAGATATTTGGTTGTCCACTGTCTTGGACTACAATAGTAATTTGTGAAATCTATTTCCCCTAAAAACTTCTCTGTAAGTACTATGGCAAGTAATTAGAAATTTTTTGTTTCCTTATGGTCTTGCAATATGCTTAAGTGCAGTTAATTTTGGGAAATGTAAGTCTCTTATTGCGGGAGAAATTTTTTCTTCTCCTGCACAGATCAATAAATGTGCCATCCCCTCCTTTTTTTTTTTTAAAAAACGGTGGGCCCCACATGTTTTGTTTCTACGGCATGAGATAAAACATCTTCTGTAACAGAAGATTCATAAGTCCCGTTAATTTTTTATACAACTTCATAAGAAACATGCGTTAAACTCTAATGATTACCCTTAAGCAATGCAGGGATCCAATTGGTTAAGTTTGTGGGAAAATGTGATATATATTAAATAGTCCATCTTTTACCAAAATGATTTTGGCCTTTTTGGGAAAGAAATCCCTTTGTCCACGATAGTCATAATGTCAAAAAAAAGGTTTAATTCATGCAGTTTTTTCTTGTAAGATTTTATTTCCTTGGTTATGGTAGTTTGCCTACTTAGTTAATCCCTTTTAATGGTGGTGTTGGTGCTTTATATCACTACTATATCATTGAACGCCTTTCTATTAATGAATATATACAAGAATCACGCTTATTACATGGGTTTTAGGGTCTTTTACCTTTTCTTAAATACCTTCCATTAAGTTATTATGTCTGTCAATACAATTTTTAAGCTTTTCCCCCTTTATTTTGTTCTTCATATATTAAGTGATTTTTGTAATTTATTTCGTCTTTTGAAACTTTTGATATGCTTCTTTATGAATTTCTACACACATTCTGAATGTCCCTTCCTTTTGGCAGGCATTGCTCTATAGGCTATCAGGTGACTACAATCCTCTGCATTCAGATCCCATGGTTGCAAAGATTGCTGGGTTAGTACTCTCATGCTGTCTTCTGAAAGCTGATTATTAATTACTTGAAACTCCATTTAGACTGTAATTGTCCCGTTTCCCCCATTTTAAGTCGAAGTGTGTTTGTTGAATTGGGTAAATGAGACTTTTTCCTTTTTTTCAGCCATGGAGCTTTTTGTTTGCAGGAAGTAAAAAGGATTGGTAATATGAATTAAATGCATAGAAATGGGGGTTACTTAGCATTTTAAGAGATAATGCCATCAGTTTGTGATTACTGTTTTTGTGGTTATTTTCTATCATATGGATATTATTCAATTGTTCAGCTAATCTAATTTTGTTTTTATCTGATTGCCAAAGATTTTCACAGCCAATATTGCACGGGCTGTGCACGTTTGGATTTGCCGTTAGGGCAATCATCAAATGCATATGCAGAGGAGATCCAGACATAATAAAGAGCATAGCAGGCCGTTTTCTTCTACATGTCTACCCTGGTGAAACTCTAGTGACTGAGATGTGGCTTGAAGGCTCGAGGTAGATTCACTGTTTGCCATTTTATAAGAAAATTATCTTCAACTATCCACTTCCAACATATTCTTGTTATCTGAAGCATTATTTAATTGATTGGTTGGGGTCCTATTCAAATGCTTGGGGAATTGAGGTGGTTATCGAAATTGTGCAGGGTTATATATAGGACTAAGGTGAAGGAGCGAAAACAGGCAGTCCTTACTGGCCACGTTGATCTGCGTGGTTTGACTTCGTCACTGTGAAGGAGCTCAATTGCATCTAGCGCTCGATAATATTTGCGAAGGGTTTGCTATTAAGTATTAAGTTAATTATGTATTCAATATGGCTTAAATGCACTGGCTGTAATCAAATGTTTGATAAATATTTAAAGTTTAAAAAATGGGTATCTAAATAGAATATTAAGTAATTCGAAATAGACTTCTTTATAGGTTAACTCGTAATAGAATATTAAGTAACTACGCTCCGCAGGTGAAAAAATGTTTATAAATAAGTTTTCATTTTAAATATTCATTTTTTAAAAATAAATAAATAAATTGTCTCAATGATTTTAGCATGCCATTGGCAGCTAGTCTATAACTTAAAACAATATCATGTTGCAATAAAAATATGTAAGCTTTTTGTTTTTCTCTCAACAATAATATGCAAGATTGATAGAGTAAATAAATAGCAAGGCGAAAATAAAACAAAATATTGAACCAGCAACTCAGCGGTGACCTAATTTTACATGCCACCATGCCTTCTTTGGTAACTTGGAGGGATATAAAATTTGGTGTTTTTTCTGGTATTTTTCTTTTCCATAGGTATCAAGGCATTATTCAGGTATGTATTTTTTGGAGCATGGTATTCACCAAACATTTCAGTAACTGGTAACTATTTTTAATAAAATTTTGAGCATTCATTATTAAATCAGCATTCAATAAAAATCTTGGCAACTTACTAAGTACAATACCAAGGGTATGACATATATTTGGGTACCAATATTTAGGAAACATACATTCATGATTAATTATTTAATGAATTTTAAAATATTAATTCTGAAACTAATGTCTAATAAATGATTGAGAATTCATTTGGGTATGGTAGCATCTTAACTTCAAATCTAACTCGCCGCTGGCCACTTCTCTGAGCATCAAATGTTCCAAGATACTTTCGTGTCAGAAGTGAAGAACAGAGAAGCAAAATGGTTCCCGGGTATTGTCTGAATGAAATTATTCAATCCAATGCACTTCTAACATTTTGGCCATAAAACCATAACGGTCAGCGGCTTCATCGATCTGAGGACAAATATATAATATTGAACTTGAGACATAATATAACAAAAAGGCGAACGGGGAAAAACAAACTGAATCCGAAATTGTTACCATTTTTTGTGTTGGACGACCCGCTCCATGTCCAGCCTTGCAGTCAATGCGACCAATTATAGGGTTCGTCTGGGGACTTTTCTCCAAACTCGTAGAGAGGACATACTGCATTGTCTGATAACAATTGGAAATGTGTTAAAAGAGAAAGGAAAGAAAAAAATTTGGGGGCCGAGGACTTGGTCAAGCGAGAGTGACAAGAGTGACAGCCATCCCCAATATGCGACAGCGATTTGCTAATTTATCTAGTTTATAACCACTTATTCTGTAGCTTGCAACATATTTCAATAAACAGTTGTCTTCAATCTATACTTGCATTCAGGAGAAGCAAACTAACCGCCAATAGCTTCAATGAGTGCAGTGGCACAACACGGTCATCATGATCAGCTGTCAACAACATGGTTGATGGGTACTGAATTGACTGGTCGGGATGCTGTTCCCACGGTCGACGGACATTATGTAATGGTGAGTACCTAGAACAGTGAATAATAGAAACATCATACTTTAGACAGATAAACACAAAAAGAAGCATATCAAAAAATTCGAAAATTACTGGAGTTCATAAAGCAATCTGGCTTACAAAACATAGTTGAAGAACAATAGGATGAGAGCACAAATATTATTTACTTTTTTCCTGAACCTTAAAATATGCGAATAAAATGAGAATGGGAATCCTCAACTTCAAACCAGGAAGGAACTCTATTACGATGCTGCTAGAGTATGCGCCACTTAAAATTACACCAACCTAGCAATTCTCCTACTGAATTATTACAGAACTGTTGCGGAAGTATAGCTTTATGCACTATACCCATGAAGATAATTTCAGCATCAGGACTAAAGCATAATAAGCTGTACATTCAGCATACCAAGTATCTAACCAGGGCTACTCATTCACACGTCCAGTCTTAATTACTCAACGAGAGTCTAAATGTTTAGCCATATAGGACCCAATCCCCTATTTTTAAGGTTTGTCATCATCATTTTGATAATTATAGACTTCCTTATTCTTTCCCGTCATATTGATAAATGATAATCTATCAAATGACAAAGGCGTGAGGAAGATATGTCATCCTATATAAAAGTAATCTTTTGTCCAATGGTACCATCTCTTAACTAAAGATCATAACTTGCTTCTTGGACCAGGAGGAGATACATGTGATGTGTAGCTCATGAACTCTAGGGAAAGAAAACAAAAATCAAATGGATAAGAAATCAAGGGCAAAGGGTGGTGATAGTACGATAGTCCAACAAAAAGATTGTCTTGCAGATTTTTAAGAGGTGAGAGGTGTTTGGGCTGGGTAGTATACATGTATTTACCTATGTCTCTGTCCAATATGGACCTATATATTATGAGAAATCTATCCATGTCCATCAATTAAGTATTTATAAAATACAGCCTTCCGACCCATCAACCCATTTAAATTTGTCCAAATATGATCCTTTCATCACCACACTTCCACCACCATCACTATCACTGCACCAACAACACCATCACTTACTAGTAATTTTAAACAATTTGCCAGTAATATAAATAAAACAAAATAATGTCATTAAATATAGGAAAAAATGTTTGTCCTTTTAAATGATACAACTTGTGTTATTTCACTCTCACAAAGAGGTGGGACCCACACCTTTATATTTTTTTGTCCACTCTCTCTCCTCCTTTATTTATCTCTTTCTCTCACTTAAAATGACACAAATTTACATCCTTTAAAATGATACACATTTTTCCCTTAAATATATTACTTTTTCATAAACTATAGAAATTTGTCCTTAATATTTCAAGATAGGATAAATCTCACTCACTTGATTAGCCAATGAAACTCTTCCTCCTTGTCTGAACAACCATAATCTGATGTCCAAGCATGACCTGAATAACAATTCTAAATCAATATGTGACAGCCATATAAACAAACTACTGGGCATAACAGATCTAAACAAACCTATGGTAAATTTGTGGAACTGTAGCATGTCCATAACACCAACATGAGCCAGTGCGCAGCCAAAAAGATCAGGTCTCTGTAAAAGAAAGGGGGGAGGCAGGAAAATCTAGCATAAACAGAAAGCTGCTGAATAGGAAAGTGTAGACCAAAAGTGTGAAAACAAAGCAAATGAGTCAGACCTGATTTATACAAGCGCCAACAAGAAGTCCACCATTGCTTCCACCTTCAATGCATAACTTTCTGGGTTGGGTATAACCAGTAGATACAAGGTATTCAGCTGCAGAAATGAAGTCATCAAAGCAATTCTGCTTTTTTGCAAGGGAGCCTGCTTTATGCCATTCCTCCCCATATTCTCCACCACCACGAATATTCGCTATGCAGAACACAACACCTAAATGTCTTGTGAGTACAATGCGACTGACACTGAAAGATGGGGTAAGACTTATGTTAAAACCACCATATCCATATAACAAACAAGGGTGTGAACCATCCAAAGTAATATCCCTTCTGGAAACAATGAACATTGGGATCTTGGTACCATCTTTACTAGGCACAAAAACCTGAAATGTGGAAATTACATCAAAGAATAGAAAAACCATGCAAAGCAACAAGGATACAGATTCCAAGACACAGCATGCCAGTACTCGAACAGAATAATGGAATTCGACACAGCCTACTTAATAATGTGAACCTAAAAATAAGATAACTTTGCAGCATCAAAGGATAATTTATTTACCTGATTAACATGAAACCCAGAGCGGTCAAACCCAGGGACAACAATTTCACGAAATATCTTCATATTAGGAATCTCTGTTCCCAGGTTGCACTGGTATATGGTCCCAGGAGTTAAAAAACTTGTAAAGCTAATGAAAACCACATTATCTTCACGCCGTGCCGAAATTCCATCAACTGTACCAATGTCAATTGGTAATTGATGCAGCAAGGAACCTGTTTCTAAGTCTCTTACTTGTAGAAGATACTTCACATCACTCAAGTAGCTCACTATCAGTTGGTTACCATTTACAGCACATGCTGACTCAAGTACATCTTTTTCAGACTCATGGAGAACATCAGCCCAAGCAGTTGGTTCTTTCAGATCTACTCGGACTAGTTTATATTTTGGAGCATCTTTATTAGTTAAAAATGTAAACACAGTATCATCATTTGCAATGGCTTCATACTTCGCATCAAATTCATCAATGAGTTTGACAAATGGGAGGAGGGCATTTTTATTCCGAAAACTTTCCAGTCCATCCGAAAGTTCAGACAAGTCACAGTAGTAAAATTTGTTAACTGGATCACACCCTTCTTCAATATAGAGAAGAACATACTGCACAATCAACAAAATCAGGGAGTCAGATTCATGGGAAATTTAAAATCATATGCATAAAATTCTCTGTTGCTTTGTTACCCTACTGCACTTAACAAAGAAAAATCAAATTACTTACTACTCTGCTTTGGCTAACAAAGTCATGAATTTAACCATATTTCCTACAACTTTCAAAGTAGTAGATATGTTAAAATTACATAAAAATGTGTTGCTCGCCTTTTTCTGATATAAATAAGAATTTTGCATAGTAATAGGGTTTTCTCTTTCCCGTAACCTCGCAAGCCGGAGTTTCATAGGGAGTGGTTTTTATTAGAGTAAATCTCCAGGATTTTATGGCAAGATGCTTCAAGGAAGACAGATTTCTATTGAGCAAAAACATTTTATCCCAGTAATATTTTTTATGATGCTCAGCCACTTAACCATACTATAATAGTAAAATGAAAATTATGCAAAGCAATACAGTACAGATCCAGGTTTTCCAAGCAAAACTAGTCAAGCAAGCATTTCAATGCTAAATCAGGAAGATCTAAATAGATTACTTCTAAAAAAATATGTAAGGCAGGGCATAAAACAGTAAAGCATCACTGACATTGACATTAGTAGTGTCTCCAAAAGCAGAGACATTAGTTGCACATTTTCTTATTTTATGTGCACATAAAAAAAACACAGATAATGTCACATAATTCTAAAGCATTGACGAAAATGAAGTACCTTCCCATCATCAGTAACACTTCCTCCAAACAAATATTTAGGGTTTTCATGATCTCTCCAGCATAAAATATCTTCTGATTGATCTGCACCCAAAAAATGATAATAGAGCTCATGATGAAGGTTAGCATTCGTTTCAGTCCCAGCATCTACTACTTCTCCATCTCTACAGTGTAAAAGCAGAGTAATTAATTCAAATTTTAAATCAAGAGAACATGAAATTAATCCTACCATCAACACTATGAATAAGCTATTTACAAGATCTCCATAGAAATAACACCAATTCAAATCATCTTGGCCAGGACAATCAAACTCAAGACCATGCACTCCACACTTATACTTTGATGAACTTTGAGTCAAATGGAAATTGCAAATTAGAATAATGACCTCCCAATTTATCTTTCTTTATGACCAATAGTCAATAGACTTGTCTGAATTCTCTCGCATTTTAACAAATACATGTGACAACTTGAAATTTGTAAACCTCTGGAAGTCAGAAACCAAATCCTGTACTTCCTGGAAAGAATGTGAGCATCGGAGTCACTTACTTGGGTGCTGGATATCGGCTATAAAAGAAACCTTTGCTATCATGTGTCCAACTAATGGAGGAAAACTTGACCTGAAACACAATATCTACAACCATCAATAGTTCTTTTATATGCCCGTTTTTATTTTAGTAAAGGCGCTCTATGATACTCACCCATGATAAAGTATCAGGCTCAACATTCTTGTCCTCAATACGCAGTACCTTTATAGTTACCCAATCACTGCCGCTTGAACTAAGCGCATAAGCCAAGTACTTGGCATCTTCGCTCACCGACGCCGTGCTCAGTGAGACAGTGCCATCTTCACTGAAGGCATTGGGGTCAAGCAAAACCTCTGGTTCTCCCTCCAAACTGTCCTGAAAAGATACGCCATATAATTGAATAAGAGAAACTCAAAACCAAGCAAAGCATTTAACAAATCGTGTGAACGCATAATTGGACACCAAACCTGCACATAGAGGATGTCTTGTGGCTGAAGCCCAGTGTTGTGGAAGTAAAAGTACTTACTAGCTCGCCTATAAGGAGCACCAAAACGAGGATGGTCAAATAGCTTGGTAATCGTTTCACTAAGCTTTGTTCTAGTCTCGCATTGTTGAATTACGGAATCCGTCAATTGAATCTGTTTCTCTACAAACTCTTTCACTTCTTCCGCATCAGGATCTTCGAGCCTTAAAAATTATTATGTAAAAAAGACATTGCTAAGAGATTTGCCTCTACGATTTCCTAATCCGAGCTTAATCATAAAAAATTTCAGCAAGTTTGAATGATCAAGAAAAATCTATCCGAATTAAGCAACGAATACAATTGAATTGAATCTCATTACCATCGATAAGGGTCAGCAATCTTAACGCCATGGTAGTCATCAACGACTGATTCGTCTCTGCGAGCAGGGGGATATCGCAGAGGTTCGTCTAGGGCACAGAGCGAACCCATTCTATTCCGAGAAGAAGAAGAAGAAGAAGAAGCTGAAGATGGAGGTGAGAATAACACAAATATGAGATTGGAGTAAACCTTCGGTGCTTAAGTAATACTTAACACTGATTGTATTTTAAAGTACATATAATTGTATTTTTATTGGTGAGAGAAACAGAGTTATATAATAAAAATTATGGCGGAAGAAAGTTAGAAATTTTTTAATTTAAATATTAAATGAAAAATAATAATTTAACTGAAATAATTATCGTTTCAAAGAATAAATATATTTGGGAAATCAACTTGTCATGTTGCAGGAAAATTACTATTCATACCTGCAGATAGAAAATCATGGTGGGACCCACTAAAATATTAAATCAAAAAAATAAATAAACACAATCTCCATTTTCGATGTCTGCAGGTATGAACAGTAATTTTCCTACAACATGACAAGTTGATTTCCCTAAATATTTTTCCCTTTTATATTTAATGCTTGAGGAGATATTAAAGCAAAAAACATATGAGAACTTTGTTACTACATTTTATTGACCCTTAGCCAGCGGGTTATCCCAACTAATTATATCTCGTTATACAAGAAAATTATCATTGACCGTTACAACATTTTAAAAGAATTAATTTTATCTCGTTATACGTATAAGACCACAACTATCATAACTATAAAATAAAATTAAGTTTACCTAAACATTCTTTTAAAAGTAATAATTTTAAATATTTTAATATAAATTAATTTTAATTTTATAATTCAAGTCGATTAATTAATTTACTTGAATTTTATATTTTTATTCTAAATAAATAAATAAAATTCTTCTATAATAAAGAATAAAATTATCTCCTGTAGAATCTACCTTATGGTACTAGCTTATTGAATTGGGTAACCCATTTCATTTTTTAAAGTACGGGACTATTGGTGAAATCATGGTAGTTAAAAATTTGTTTTAAAATTAAGTTTTTATGATTTTTTTACATCAAAACATTTTCATCAACATTTTTCTTGTTTTTATGTTTTTATATTTTTTTCTTATAATTTTACGTTTTTCGATTTATTTTCTCTTTGGGTGAAATGGTATTGCATGCTATTTTTAGGATGTGGGGAAATCAATCCGTGAGAGTAATAAGACCCACTTCGAGGGTGGGAACCTCCTTGAAAACGATTAAACAAAGATGAAAAAAAGAACTTGGTTGATTGCTTGATTTTCCTTTTAGAGCCAGTAGGCTTATATACAGAAGCAGGTAATGAAAAAATGCCAAGCAGCAGAAAGTGCCACCTGCACCTACAGCTAACGGACTTGCAACAAACTACGAATGGAATACAGCAGCAATAACAGAATGTGATACACTAACATCACAATTCTCCACCTAACAACTTCCTAGGCATGCAACCAACTTATCCTATGCAGCAGCTCCCATCTTATGTATCAGCTCCCATGCTAACCCAATTGATAATCCCTCATCCATTTCGGCTGGCCTCTGTGACGCTTGGCCCACCTGGCCTTGGGTGTGACTTGTGGATCCAGCTGGTGTTCTTCCTCTGGGCCCTCTGTCTCATTAGCTTGTGGATCCGTATCATCCCCTTCCCCATCAGAACACACATTGTCCTCAATGTGGAAGGAAGGAAAATTAGCTTGGAAGTCAGAAAGCAATTCCCAAGTCGCATCCTCCGGATATAAGCCCTGCCACTGAACTAACACCTTAGTTTCTGAAGCCTCGGGTCCTCTCTGAATATTCAGAATGGCTAAAGGTTGGACCAGTGGTTGGTGATCTATGGCAGCATCTGGCAACTGGAGAGGCTGGTCCGGATTTGATGTATCAGCAACAAAGAAGGGTTTCAGCAGGGAAGAATGAAAGACAGGATGTATTTTGGAGCCTTCAGGGAGCTCCACTTCGAAGGCAACAGGGTTAACACAACGCACAATCTTGTATGGCCCATAGAAACGCTTGGCTAGTTTTTGTGGGGGAGCACCAGTCACTGAGGTCTGGCGGTAGGGTCGTAGCCGGACCATTACTAAATCCCCTTCATGGAACTCAAACGCGCGACGATGAAGATCCGCAGAACGTTTCATGCTCTCTTGAGCCTTTAGCAAACGTTGTCGGAGACGGATTAAGAGGTTCTCACGGGTACTGAGTTCGAATTCAACAGCATCAACAGGGGTACCACCAAGTGCATAGGTAGGAATATTCGGAGGTTCCCTGCCATAAACGGCTTGGAAAGGTGTCATGCCAGTGGATGAGTGAATGGTGGTGTTATAACACCACTCAGCCCAGTGAAGGAACTTGCCCCAGAAACGTGGTTGCTCATGTACAAAAGACCGAAGGTAGTGCTGTAGTGTTCTATTGACCACCTCAGTCTGACCATCGCTTTGTGGATGGTAAGCGGTGGACATGCAAAGTTTAGTGCCGCTGAGTTTGAATAGTTCTTGCCAAAAACGACTGAGAAAGATGGGATCTCGGTCGGATATCATACTCTTTGGCATGCCATGTAGGCTACAAACCATTTGAGCGAATAGATCAGCAACTTTAGATGCAGTAAAGTGGGTAGGCAGCTTACCAAAGTGTGCTGCCTTGGAGAAGCGATCCACAACAACAAGAATGACACTGTAGTTTTGGAAGGAAGGGAGCCCAGTGATGAAATCCAAGGATATGTCCTCCCATACTTGTGTTGGGGGTTCGATCGGTTGAAGGAGGCCAATCGGAGCTTGGTGGGAGGGTTTCATGTGTTGGCAGACTAAGCATTGTTGAACAAACATTGTTACATCTTTTTTCATACCCTTCCAGTAGAAATTCTCGCGAAGCCTGCCAAGTGTCTTACTGATGCCAAAATGACCAGCCAATGGAGAAGCATGAAATTCAAGTAAAAGAGCTGGCTTGATGGCTGAAGCGGCAGGAATAAAGATCTTGCCTTTAAAGAGAAGCACCCCTTGTACTGCACGTATAAAGGGGTGAGAAGAGGGGTTTTCTTCTAATTCCTGTAACAGCTTTTGCACCTCCGAATCACTGTTGTATGTCTCTTTGAGCTTAGAAATAAATTCAAATTGTGGAACAGAGAGCACTAGTAAGGATGCTGGTGGATGTTCAACACGTGACAGCGCGTCGACCACCTGGTTTGAAGCACCAGGTTTGTAAGCAATATTGTAGTCATAACCCAGGAGTTTGGACAAATAATACTGCTGCTCCGGAGTTTGAATGACTTGGGTCATGAGTTCACGAAGGCTCCGCTGATCAGTGTGGATTGTGAAACGGCGGCCAAGGAGGTATGGTCTCCATTTGCGTACAGCCTCTGTAATAGCATGTAACTCGCGTACATATGTGGAAGCTTGCAGTAATCGCCCAGAAAATATCTTGCTGAAGTAGCACACAGGGTGCCCCTTTTGTAACAACACAGCTCCCATACCTAACCCGGAAGCATCAGTTTCTAACACAAACTCAGAATCAAAGTCGGGCAGGTGCAAAACAGGAGCTTGAGTCATCGCGCTCTTTAGCCGTTCAAAGGCAGTCCGAGCCTGATCTGACCATACAAAGGCATCACGCTTCAACATATCCGTCAAAGGAGCCGCGAGTGCAGCGTAGCCTTGCACAAATTTCCTGTAAAATCCAGTCAAACCTAGGAAGCCTCTTAGTTGCTTAAGTGTCGTTGGTAAAGGCCATTCAACCATGGCGCGAATCTTCTCCGGATCGGGGCCAACACCACTCTTGGAAATGATATGGCCTAAGTAGTCAATGGACTCTTGTGCAAAAAAGCACTTGGAATTTTTTAGAAAAAATTTATTCTACAATAAACAAGCAAACGTTTGTCGGAGATGGTTCTTATGCTCTTCCTCAGTTTTGCTGTAAACAAGAATATCATAAAAAAAAACAATAATAAACTGACGAAGGTGGGGTTGAAACAACCTATTCATGGTCGCCTGAAATGTCGCTGGAGCATTGCACAGACCAAACGGCATCACCAAAAATTCGTAGTGGCCATCGTGGGTCCGGAAGGCAGTCTTGGCCACGTCTGCTGGATGCATGCGTATCTGGTGATACCCGGAACGCAAATCGAGCTTGGAAAAACACTGAGCGCCATGTAATTCGTCCAGAAGCTCGTCTATGGTTGGAATCGGAAAACGATCTTTCCTTGTGATGGAGTTCAGGGCGCGGTAGTCCACACAGAAGCGCCATGACCCGTCTTTCTTCCGAACCAGCAGAACAGGCGAAGAAAAAGAGCTCGTGCTCCCTTGAATCAAACCAGAAGAAAGCATCTCACGAACTTGGCCCTCAATCTCTCGCTTCTTAAAAAATGGATATCTGTAAGGACGGACGTTGACCGGTGTTGCGCCGTCTAGGAGTGGGATCTGATGGTCCACGTCGCGTGGTGGAGGAAGCTCGTTTGGATTTGCAAATAGCTGGTGGAATTCGTTCAGCATGGTGAGGAGCCATGGCTGTGCGTTTGAGGCAGTAGGCGGTGATGTAGGGTTAGGTAGCATCTCCAGCCGAAACAATTCCACAATAGAATGGGTGGATGACATCCTTCTCAATTGGGCCAAGGAAATTTCGTTAAGCCCGTCAGATACGGCCCCTTTGAGTTGAATTACCTCTCCATTCTTCACAAATTTCATGGTAAGGTCTCCATAGTCAGTAAGGATGGGTCCCAAGGTTTTTAACCACTGGACTCCAAGGACCAGATCCGTTCCACTAATTGGTAGGACGAGGAGATCCACATCAAATTGATGAGGCCCAAAATGGAGTGGTACTGCCTTGCAGACTAAGGAGCATTCCAATTCCTCACCATTGCCCACTACCACAGGAAAGCCTTGGGTCTTTTGAGCCCGTAAGCCCAAAATTTAGTGATCCTATCTTGGACGAAATTGTGGGTACTCCCACTATCCACCAAAATAGAGAGCTCATGTTTACCAATCCGGCCCTTAACGCGCAAGGTCCGCGGAGCCGTTTGGCCCACCAGAGCATTGAAGCTAATCTGGCCCACTAAGGCCTCTTGATCATCAATGACGTCATTTGGTGGATCCAACGGTTGCAGGGGAAGGGAAAGTTCAGAAGGCAAGTACCTATCG